TATAATATTTAAATTTAAATAATAATTTTATTTTTAATTTAATTAAATAATAATAATATAAAAGTAATAATAACCTAAAAGAAAATAATAATAAATTAAAGACTAATATTATAATATCTTTTAACTACTCTATATAAATATTAACTTATTAATTAATTAATAAACCTATTTTAAAATATTCTTAAATATATTCTAAATAATAATAAAAATAAAAAGTTAAAATCTAAACTTTATTACCTTAATACTCTTTAATATTAATTAAAAACTAATTTTTACCTATCTATACTCTTTAATATTAACTAAAAGAATTAATTTTAATTTATTTATACCCTTTAATATTAACTAATAAAACTAATTTAATAAATATTTATTTATATTTTTAATATTAATTATATAGATCCTTTAATCTTAATTATTTTATTTATACTATAAAGTATAAAAACTCTTTTATATAACTTCTTTTTATTTTTATTAATAAACTATTTTAAATAGATAAACTTATATAATATAAATCTTATTAATTAAGTAAATATCTATTTAACTTTAAGCTAAATAAAATCTTTACCTTAACCTTTATTATACTATTTTTAATTAATTTTATTAATTAATTATTTATTATACCTTTAAATATATTTTAAATATAAATTTATTTTATTTAATTAATAAATAAATAAGTTAATTATAATATAATATAATAATCCTTAATATACTCTTTTATCCTTCTTATTTTAAAACTTTATATTATAATAATCTCCTTTTTCTATATATTAATAATATATAATTTATAAAACTATATCTATATTAATATTTTATACTCTATATATATAATATATACTATTTATTCCTTTTACCTTTATTATATTAATAAAATAAAAATTATATATTATAAACTTTAAAATAAATTATAAATAATATAATACCTTTAAATAAAATAATATAGATATATTATCCACTAATAGATATATTTTATATTACCTATACTATACTTTATAATAATAAATAGTATTATAATTAACTTAGGGACTATATTAAATCTATATACCCTAAAAGTTAATTCTCTTTTAAAAATAATTATACTTTTATAAATAATTAAACTATTTAATTTTTAAATAATTTATTAATTTATAATTATAAAATAAAAGCTTAAAATTAATAATATTTAATCTTTAAAGAATAAAAGCTTTAATAAATATTTAAAATTAAGTATAATAAATATTTAATTTAAATATAAAGTATTATATTAATAAATATTAAAAGATATATACTTTTAAATAAGTTAAATAAATAATAAGTTATATTATTTTAAGTTTTAACCTATATAAAAGGATCTATAATTAATATCTTTTATATTACTTATATTTAAATATAATATAAAAATTAAAGTTTTTATTTATATTATTTAATTAACTTATAAATTATAAAGAGTAATAAAAAGTAAAAGTTATTATTAATAAATATTATTAATAATAAAAGCTTTTATTATTTATAATTAAAATAGTTATTCTATATAAACCTAAGAGTAAAAGTAGGTTAAAAAAGTATTAAAGTAAATAGATTTAAATATTATACTTAGAGTTATCTTTATTATCTTTAAGTATTATTACCTTAATTAAAGTTTAAGTTTAAATTTAAATTTATTAAATAAAAATATTAACTTAATTATAATAATAATATAAATATACTTAATTTTAAAGTTTAATAGTTTTTAAAACTATTAATATAAATATTATACTTTATTTTACTTTTTTATAATATAATAAAGTAATATAATATTATTATTACTTAATTATATATAATATAGATTATTTATAGTATTAATTTAATATTTTATCTATATAATATTATTATTTAAAGGATATAGAAAATACTTTATAGGGGTATTTTTATTAATAAAAGAATATTAATATTAATTAAATTATTAAATTTATTAAAAATAAATATATTTTAAATTAGATTTTTAATATTATTTATATTATATAGTAATTATATTTAATAGGAAGGAAGTTTTTAATAATTTATTTAAAGGTAATAGTTAACTTTTATTAAATAATTATATACTTTTATTTAAATAATTAAAGGGTTTTAAATTAATAAACTTTTTTATATTAAACTTTTAAAAAGATTTAAATTAAACTAATAACTAACTATAAACCTTTATTCTTATAATAAATTAAAATAAAATTAATTAATTTAAAAATATAATATAATATTATACTATAATATAAAGATTTCTTTATTTATACTATTAATTAACTAACTTTTAATTCTTTTATAAATAATAAATAAAATAAAATATAAAGAAGTTTCTAAACTTTATTAATCTTTATTATTAATATTAAATTAAAATTATTTATAATACTTTAAAAGATTAACTATAATAATCTCTAATATATAGTTTAATAAGTATTATAAAATTATATATAATAAAATTAATATTAAAGTTAGTTTAATTTTATATATTTTATATATTTTAATTATTTTAAATATAAATAATAAAGATATCCTTAAAGCCTTAACTTATTAAATTAATTATTAAAATTATAATACTATATTTAATTATTATCTTTTATTTTTACTTTAAACTTTATATATAACTTTATAAATTTTAATTTATAATATATTAGAATATATATTATTAAATATATTAAAATAACTTTATTAAATAAACTTTATTATTAAGTTTAATTAAAGCTTATTTATTAGACTTAATAATAGTAAAAGAATAAATAATTATAGGAATTAGTATATTTAATACTATCTATTTCTTAATAAGTATTATTATAGAGTTACTTTTATAGCTTTAGAATATATTCCTTTAAAATTTAATCTTTTAAAAGAAATTCTTTAAATACCCTATTTTTAAAATTTATTTTTACCTTTAAAAAGTAGGCTATATTTACTAAAAGGTTAAATAAATATATATTAACCTATCTAAAAGATTTAATTAATTATAGTTAAAAAGTAATACCTATTATAATTAAAGATTTATATTATATTACTTTTAATAAAATAAATTAATATAAAAATAAAGAAAATTATAAATAAAATAAAAGATTTAATTATATTAAAATATAAAATTATTTTGAATATATACTTTAAATTAAAATAAAAATATATATATAAATCTTATTTAATAATAAAACTATTAAAATAATATAAAATTATTATAATAATAATTATAATTATTTATATTAATTAAAAAAATAAAAATTATATAAAGTAATTATAAACCTAATAGAAATATTATTACTATCTTTATTATTATAACTATTTCTATTACTACTTTAATAAAAGAATTATTATATAAAAGTTAATAATAATAATAATAATAATATAAATATATTATTATTATTAACTTTATAAAACTAAATTATACTTAAAATAAATTATATAATAATAACCTTCCTCTATTTTACTACTTTTATAAAAACCTTTAAAAATTTAATAAATAAATAGTTTAAAAATAAAAACTTTAAGAAAATATAAAAGTTAGATTAATTTTAAAATAAAAAAGAAATTAATAATATATTTATTATATATATTTTTAATATAAAAATTAATTATTATATTAATAAATTAAATAGATTAAATAATAACTATATTTTAAAGTAAATAAATAAAAAAGATAGAATATTTCTTATATAATAGTTTAAAAATTATAAAAGTAGAAAAACTATAAAAATAAGAAATATTATAAAGTATTAATTATATATTTAATAAACTTTTAATTTAAATTATTATCTAATAAAGTAAATTAATTATTTATAAACTTTTAAATTATTTAATTATTAATATAAATAATTATTTAATTTATTTTATTTAAAATAAAAGTATTTTATTTACTTTATATTTAACTTTATTTTTAAATTTATAAAAATATTAGAAATTAATTAAATTAACTATTTTAAATTATTATAATTAAATTCTAATTAAATATTATAAAAAGGAGAATTCTTCTTTTAAAAGAGCTAATTATAAATCTTATTTTTCTATTAGTTTTACTATATATCTTTATAATAATAAAATACTATTTTTTATAATTTATTTATATAAATAAAGTTATTATTTTTATTTTACTTTATTTATTATTATTTTTTAAATAATAAATTAAATAGTTTTATTATTATTAAGTTTTATATTATAAATAAAAGATTAAAGTTATATATATTTTAAGCTATTATATTTATTAAATATATTTTAAATATTAATTTAATAATTAAATTATAAATAAATAAAGCTTAAAATTTATTATAAATAATTAAAATAATATATTTAATTATTATTTTATAAAAAAGGAATAATATATTTTTTAAAGGCTATCTTTTTTAATACTTTTATAAAATAATATAATTTCTATTTTAATTATTTAAAGTAATACTATTTTAATATTTAAAATATAAAAGTTAAAATTCTCTTTAATATTAAATATATTAAAGTTATTTAAATAAAGTTAATTATAAATAAATAGTTATTATAAATTTAAATTAAAAGTAAATATAAAGCTTAAATATTTAGTTATAATAAAAATAAAAATAATAATTTAAAGGTAGATTAATTATAATATTTATTATATAATTTAATTATTATTTTTTATCTTTAAATAAATAAATATTTTTTTTTTATATTTTTAATTTAATTTAATAATAGTTTATTATTAATTAAAAAGAAAAGGGTAAAAATTTTTTTTTCTATTTTATGGGTAGGAGGGGGTTAGAGAAAGAGGCTATTATAAAAAGGGTTTATTTAGGTACTAACTTGTTACCTATGGGTTACTCGGGTGATAACCCCGCACTAAAAGGGCTGGAATAACCACCACGTATTCAAGTATGGAGTAAAGTGTGGGGGTTGGATACGGGGTACGGGGTAAAACATGGGGTAGTATGGGGCCCAACGGCTCGGTTTTCTCCTTTCGGCTTGGTTTGAACGCCACGCGCAGACCCAACGTCACGCGCCCCGCCTCCCGGGACAGCTCCCCATCAACTAGTGTGATAACTGACTGGCTACAGGATGTACCGGAATTGCGGGTTCTGGGGGGGCCGTGTCAGCAGTTGGTTCGCAAAAGCAAAAGGCGGAAAGGGAAGACCCACCTTCATATCTGTAACGTCGTCCTCGTAGGCGTGCTCGAAGCCCTCCATGATGCCTGACTCGTCGCGCTTGCGGTTGTGCCACACGCACAGCAAGCGGTAGAGCATGATGCCGACGCCCGCTGCTATGGCCGTGACAACAACCACGATGAAGCCTTTGGGGTACCTTGGAGCATCACTGACGTGGAATGCAAGAGGTCCGAAGAAATTGCCTGTAATACCAAATCAATCAGCATCAAGACGCTTCAATATTCTCAGTCTCTGCCAATCATGATGTCGTGAAAACTCACCTAAGCAATACCCAATGTACAAGCCGGAAGAGGAAAGGGATCGTTTTGTGTATCCAGCAGTGTTTGCCAGCGATTGGCCCATGAGCACGGCGTACCCGCCACCAGTTGACGGCAGCAGGATGCACGCGAACAGCAGCGCCCCTCTGGCTGAGAGCGGCACCTGCCAGAGCATGATCGCAGCAGCGACCGTCAGCGCCTGTGCCACCACGTAGAGGTACGCCCGGATATTGTTGAACTTGTATGCCAAGAATGGCATCAGGAGCTGCACGCTTCCGGCGTAGAACCCGATGGGGATCACCAGGAGCAGGGCGTTGAGTCCGCTGAACCCGAAGCCTCGGATGATGATGGGCGTAAAGGTCGAGATGGGAGCCTGGCTTGAATGTCAGCTTATCACAATTCAATTGAACCGGCCGGATCATTGCAGCACTTACATTTGCAATCATGGATAGCAAGGCGATCGAGAACATCAACCAGAACTTTGGATCCGTCGCCAATTCTACCGCCTGGCTGCCCTTGAAGTGCGTGTTCCTCACGCCGCTGTTGTTGGTGCGCAGCCGAGCGACCATGATGTACCGCTCCCTCTCTTCGAAGCCTTTCGCCCTCACAGGATCTGGCAGGAGGACAAAATACAGGGTAAATCCCCATACTATAGTCATTCCACCGGCAAAGTAGTACATGTACCGCCACGTACTCGCATTATTCTTGATAGACCCGAAACCGTAGTTGATTAGAGGCGAGATGCAGCTGACATAGCCGGTACACGAGTACCATATTCCCATCCGCATGGCTTGCTCGTTTTTCTTGTAGAAGGAGCCGACGATGAGCATGAACATGGGGCTGATGCCGCTCTCCAGGGCTCCCAGGAAGAATCGCTCCGCATAGATGTCCTGGTAGTTCCTGCAGATGACGGTCAACACCAGACAGAGACCCCAGAGGATAACAGTTCCAGAGGCGACACGTTCGATAGGATATCGCTGGGCGAGGTACATGGTTGGGTAGGCGCCGACAATGAATCCGAGGTAGAAGATCGAGGCGGTCATGGAATAGCGGTTGCCGACGTCGAGGCCTAGGTCGTCGATGATACCAAATAGGGCCTGCCGTCACAAGAGGAAACAAAAAATGTCAGCCTTCGGCAAGTTGTGTACCACCCCTGCTGATACGACATGATGCATACCGCTTGGGACAACATTGCCTTGTCGTAATAGAGCAGCCCATAGGTCGCGCACAAGACTGGCATGAGCCTCCAGTCCAGTTTCCTCCGCAGGCTGGCCTCCTCCTTATCCGTCCATTCTTGCTCTCCGGAGTAGGCTTGCAAGACTTTAAGCGCTTCATCGCCCTCGATGGTATTGACTGCTTTCAGGCTCTTTGGGGGATTTTCGTCCGACGGCCTGCCAATAGATTCGTGGTGTTCAACCGAGAGCCGTTTCGTCTGGTCGTCCATGTTGACACCGATTGGGGGGGAGCCGGAGCACGCGCAGGGTGTGATGCAGCGTTATCGATCAATTGATATTGTCTCACAGCCAGCTCCGCGGATCTTTGATATGAGCAAGGAATGAGCGCTACGGATTGGATCGCCGTTGATGTATCTTCAAGGAGAGATGGTATTTAGGGTCGCAGAATTGGATGCAAGGCCAGGGGCCAAGCTCACCTGGGCAAGCTGGGCATACTGCAACGGCAATGACAGGACCATGAATCCCTGATTGCCGCTAGTATGGTGCTATTAGAGCGTTGTACTATATCCCGCTTATTTCTCTTTAGGTAAGTCCTAAGTATTGAGATACAAGTACATTAACCAAAGAATATCTATACACTCAACACTTATACTAAGGTGAAAAATCATTAAGTTATAAAGGAGATATAATTAAATGTTAGACGTTTTTAGAATTATAAATGTTTTTATGAAGTATTAGTATTTTATTAACGTTATAAATCCATAGAATTTAATTATAACTATTTAAAATCGCTTTCGATTAGCTATATGGAAGCGGGGTACAGGTAGCCACCGAATTAAGGTTCACCAACAGTGACCGCCCTACACTAGGAGCCCGCCGTAGGAAATCCATCCAAAACGGACATGCCGTTGTAGCCGAGGCCAAGGCCGGCGTGCCGGTGTCCCTCGCCAACTGCTCGGAAGGTTCCGAGACTCATAGTCACACCGAGACTGGGAACCTATCAATGTCAGCATGTAAGCTTGGGCTGAACACGAAAGTTTCCGAGTCAGACCCTCGTTCTAGATCCGTCTCAGACAGTTGGCAAGCGCGTGCTGGCAGACAACCTGTGGGCGAAGACAATGGCGACTTCCGTGAACCTCCCCGCCGGGGACGTAGCCATCACCGTGAAGCTTATCAATGCGGCGAACTTTGGTCCAGCACAGCTACACCGCTTCATGGCACCGCCAGTCCCAGGGCTGACAACTTTCAAAACGTCGCCATCATTGTGCTTCCTTCTACAACATCCGAATGGACGGAACCTCGTTTGGGACCTGGGAATCCGAAAGGATTATGGCAATTATGCTCCAAGCATAGCGGAGTACATCCCTACAACGGGATACGATATCCAGGTTCAGAAGAATGTGGTCGAAATTCTCGAGGAGGGAGGTGTGAAAGGAGATGATGTCGAAGCTGTCATTTGGAGGTACGGACCAAGCCACGTTGCATGAGAGTGATCGATGGCTGATGTGGAAATAGTCACTGGCATTGGGACCACATCGGCGACCCTTCATCGTTCCCCGCGGCTACGGCTCTTGTGGTCGGGCCTGGCTTCAAGGAGGCAATGCTTCCTGGGGCTCCAGCTAATCCGAAATCACCCATACAAGAATCTGACTACGAGTACGTCCATATCATAGTGGCAGTGCTATGTGCGGTGTTGTTGACCACTAAAGCAGAGGCCGGGAGCTGAGAGAGATAAATTTCGACGGACCTGATTCCCTCAAAATTGGACGGTTCAGAGCGTTCGATTACTTTGGCGACGGCTCCTTCTATCTTTTGGACAGCCCAGGTCACGCCGTCGGACATTTATGTGGTCTCGCGAGGACGACGTGCAGCCAGCCAACGTTCATACTCCTCGGTGGAGACGTCTGCCACTATGCCGGCATCTTTAGACCTTCTAGCCAGCTGCCAATGCCTGCGCATATATCACCTCACCCTTGCTGCCCAGGGGCGGGCCCAGCTCTGGATGTGACAAAGTCATGGCCGGCACTTCAGCAGAGCCGAGGCCGAAAGGAAGACGACTCGCTGTATGACATGACGTTTGGCCTGGACATTCCTCTTGCCAATAAGACGAAGGCTAAATTACAGGAGCTTGATAGCCGCGACGATGTGTTTGTCATCATCGCACATGATTCCACTGTCAGGGATGGAGTGCCTCACTTTCCTGCAGATCTGAATGATTGGAAAGAGCGAGGCTGGGGAAAAGCTCTCAGATGGGCTTTTTTGAGAGATCTAGAGAATTATTGGGCATCTGAAGCCGCGGCCTAGCTCTATACATTTCCCAAGCAGAATACAGCATATTCACACAGGGTTGCCGCTCACTACCTAGGTACACTCAGTGTAACAGTGTAGTGTAGTACGTGTAAATAAGCCCACTGCAGGCCATTACATTGAATGTATTGTGTGTGGTTTCGCTTCTATTCCGTATACGTCCGAGGACATACATGGCGCCTTCATACGGTGCCACAGTGGTAACAGTCTAATTTACTGCGAGGCCTAGTCGTAGCCCAAATCATTGGGCTTATAAGCTGGAATATCCTGCTCAAATCTGGCTCGGTCCTCGCATGGACTGATTGCGAGTCTTTACAAAATCCATCAACTGATTCCACAGCTCGCCTTTGCCGCTCTGCTGTTCAGCTTTCAAACCATTGCCCCGTAGTGCCTCGAGCAACTCGGCTCGGGAGAGCGTGACTTCGAGATCTGACTGGCACGCTACACCCTTCTTCTTCCCGCCGGGTGAGAGTTGACGGCTGATGAGTACGCCGTTGCTCACCAGGAGCTGCCATTGTTCTCCGGCGTCGGGAACAGTGATGCCGATCGAGAATGACGATTCAGCAGCTCGCTCACCGTCGAGCTGGACCGAGAGGATCTGGAACCACTGGGCGATTGATAACTGTGGTCCCAACGGCGTTCGGCCCCCAGCAACCATCCCAGAATTCTTGCCAGTTCTGAGCTCTTGGGCTCCGGTAAGATAGAAGTTGCGCCAGGTAGCGTTCTCAGCACCCCAGCCCAGCCGCTCGTACGCCTTGGCCAGGAGCTCTTTTGCCCTGGGGTCGGGAGAATTGGCCTCTGCAGCGATTGCGTGCGCAAGCAGTGTCGCGGCGAAGCGGAAGTCTCCTCGGTCAATGAAAGTAGAGGCCTTGTCGCAGAGAGCTTTAACACCACCCATGCATTCGACGTATCGTTTGCCTTCCTCAGCAGGAGGATATTGCCACAGGTGAGCCGGATTTCCGTCGAACCAGGTCATGTAGCGCTGATATATACCCTGTAGAGAAGGTCAGACGGTATCCAAAAACAGACAGCAGTGCACGACGTACTTTGACGTTGTGGCTCAGGGAGCCGTAGAAGCCTCTGCAATGCCAGGCCTTCGATATCGCAGGGGGGAGACGAAGCTGCTCTGCTATCTCTAGCCCGTTCATTCCTGCATTCGTGATGCATCGTCAGTCAGGTCCGCTCTAGGAGATGGATAGATTGGTAAAGGCTTACCTAGGTTCATCATCCTCACGGTTTGGTCGTGAAGGTAGGCGTACATATCGCGCTGCTCTGTTAGTCTGCGGATGAGCAAGTTACGGCCCCACGTAGGCCAGTTGTGGCTCCCGAACACAACATCGGACTCATCAGCAAACATCAAGACCACCTCGTCCAGATAGCCGGACCATGCTTGCGCGTCTCTGACCTGCGCACCGCGCAAGGTTACCTGACTCAATATTTAGTATCAGGATTAGAGTCACGATACGGGGAAGAAGTGCAACAACACGACTTACAATGTTGTGCATACAATTTGTGGCCGTCTCCGGTACACAAAGTGCCTTGAGATCAGGAAAGTGGAAGTTGATCTCCGCTGGCGCCTCAGTGCCGGGGACCATCTGGAAGACAATGCGGATGCCGTCGATGATGTGCTCCTCGCCCGTCTTCTGGATCAACAGGTTCGGCGGTATGAGTGAAGTTGTGCCAACGCTCGATGCCATTCCCAGCCCAGTGCCAATCTGCGCATCCGGTGCTCGTGGGAGGGCGTTGCCGTACATGAATGCGGCCCTCCTCCGCATAGCTGGACCGGCTAGGATAGATTCGCTCAAGATGGCCTCCATGAAGCCTTCCGGAGCCACGATTGGGATTTTGATATCCCCACCCTCTGGCAGCACGCCCTGGGCACCCATGTAATGGTCTCCGTGAGAATGAGAGTAGATCATACCAGTCACAGGCCGATCGCTGCCGGCATGTTTCCTGTACAAGTCCAGCCCGGCTGCTGCGCACTCGCATGATACCAGAGGATCAATGATAATGATACCGGTTTTGCCTTCGACGATGGTCATATTGGAAAGATCCAATGCTCGAGTCTGGTAGATGCCATCCTGTATTTTGTACAATCCTTGCTTGGAGTTGAGCTGGCCCTGTCGCCAGAGGTGTGGGTGCGCCGTCTCTGGGCATTCGCCATCCAAGAATTTGTATTGGTCGATGTTCCAGACAACATCTCCGGCCTTATTCTTGATGATACCAGGCTCTAGGGCACAGCAGAAGCCCCTCTCAGCTTCGTCAAAGTCTTGTAGATCATCAAAAGATGGCTTGCAGTCCATGGTGAAAGCACATAAGACAATTTGCGAGAAACCTCGCTACGAGGATCGAATGTCGATTTGTTAGTACACGCCGCCTACTTATTAGGTACTCAAGAGCCTTTTACTCCCGCCCACTAAAATGATTTGTGGACCGAACGAGCATGGTCAGAGTGACGGAAGTCGGTCGTTATCTAGTCTACGTCCCAGACCTGGGTTTATTCCCGATTTGCGAGTTCGGTGCGTACTTCCTTATCGCCATGTTGAGCCCATCAGGTGGGAATGGCGTTATTACGATACATGGGTTGATCCCTGATTTCCAACACCGGCTCCCGATGTCGGTAACAAGAACGCTCGGTAGGCCCACTTGAGATGGCGTCTTCTTCCTTGAGATGGCGTCTTCTCATAGCCACGCCGGCTACCCCAATCATAGTTAGAGTATCCAAATGACTTCTCCACGGCAATGGCCGCCAGCAGCGTAGGATGTTAGAAGATCCAATGGCTCACTTTGCCGACATCCGGACAAACCCCGGCTGAGATGGTCCAATGGCAACCTAATGTCATGTTCAATAACAACATGCTCGAACTCAATTCGACAAAATGTCCATGCGGATTGAGTTGCATTTGCAACTTTCTTTACAGCTTATCACTAAACGAAAAGGCTCTTGAGTGAAGCTATTCAAATGGCTTCGTTTAACGAGCGCGCTCAGGCGAGCATGCCAGAGAAGACCGCCGGTGACCTCGTTGACGAGGATGCTCGCGATGTCGATGACGACGACGAGTATACTCCCGCCGAGCAACGCAAGATCATACACAAGGTCGACCGTCGCCTGCTCCCTGTCTTGGGTCTCATGCAGGCTGTGTCATTTCTCGACCGAGCAAACATGTCAAACGCTTCTGTCGCTGGGTATGGCAGCGCCTCCTCATAGCAGCGGCATCTAGTGAGCTAACCGATCGTCGAAGCATGACTAAGGAGCTTGGCTTGGGAATTGGGCATCGCTATGTAGGTGAAGCAGGGAGTTGTTGTAGGATAGGTGACGTCGCTAACTGCAGACTTACATAGTCAATTGTCCTCCTGGTGTTCTTCGCCCCATACGTCTTGCTGCAGTTTCCGGCTTCGATCCTCGTGCGCCGTGTTGGCCCGAGGCTGTTCCTTTCTTCGATCGTACTGGCATGGGGCATCGTCATGATGGTAAGTGATCGAGTCTTCCACATAGAGCTACACTGTCGAGCTGGACTGACCAGCATAATTAGTGCTTCGGTTTTGTCCAGAACTGGAAGTCACTTATTCCGGTGCGCATGCTGCTGGGAGCCTTCGAGGCCGGGTGTTTTCCTGGTCAATACTATCTGATCTCGTCGTGGTATACCCGATGTTAGCCATTCCGCACTCTCGACCTTGAACTAAGTTGAGCTCGCTAATACTCCATGGAACAGACGATCTGTACAAGCGCATTTCGATATTCTACCTCATAGGAGTGCTTGGGTCTGCGCTGGGCGGCGTGCTTGGGCTCGGCTTCTCACAGATGAGTGGACTGGCCGGTTACCTTGGCTGGAGGTGGCTGTTTATTATGGTATGTTCGTCCGTGGACGTCTGCTCATATCATCGTGAGGCGGGCAAAGACTAGCTGTTGGTGTTGTGGGCGGGCTGCACGAAATTTATCTTCGAGAGCAACTGCTAACTCTTTCCGACTATTAGGAGGGTCTACTGACCTGTCTCATCGGAGCCCTCGGCTATATATTCACTGTAGACTTTCCGGGCACAGCTCATAAGGCCTGGGGCTTTCTTACGGAAAGGGAAGCTGCTTGCATCGTTCGGCGTATCAACCGCGACCGTCAAGACGCCGACCCGGAGCGTTTCAGCCTCCGAAACTTTCTCGCACCGGCTGGAGATTTCAAGATCTGGCTATTCGCATTAATGTTCTTGTGAGTCGGCTAGATGTCGTGATCGGATAGACAAATCATGACGCTGACATTCTCAGGTGCTCAACAATGCAGGCTTACGCAGTAGGCAACTTCCTCCCACTAATCCTGATGGGCGAGATGGGGTTCAGCCAGACCAAAACACAAGGCCTGACGACGCCTCCCTATCTCGCTGCCATGGTCCTCATGTACGTTGAGGGTTGGCTCAGCGACAAGTTCCGCCTCCGAGCGCCAGTGATGTACTTCAACGCGCTGCTCTGCATCATGGGTCTCTGCTTGATGTCTTGGGGACCGACGGCTGGTGTTCAGTACTTTGGCGCAATCTGTTTGACCGCAGGCTGCAGCGCTATCATTCCGACACTCATGGTCTATCAATCCAACAATATCCGTGGAACCTGGCAGAGAGCTTTCAGCAGTGCGAGTCTTATCTCCTTCGGTGGCACTGGCGGTATCGTGGGCTCGCTCGTGTTCCGCTCACAGTAGGATATTTTGATTTTCGATCAGCCGGGTAGCAATGCTGATACATTCAACAGAGACGCACCACAATATCTTCCGGGCATATATGCCTGTCTGACGTAAGACCACACACACTCACAGATCATATCATTTGATACTTCGCTAATCCGTTTTGCAGCGCCAACGCTATCATCCTCATACTTGCCACAGCTCTAACGGTCTATTTTATAGCACAGAACAGGCGAGCTGAGGCTGGATTGGTCGTTCTGGAAGACCTACCTGGCTTCCGATATGCCCTCTAGAGCCTCATGAGGACGCCTCCATGGTCTGTTTGGGTCGATCTCGTGAGGCAGGTGCATGAAGAGGGGAGAACAGTGTGGAGTGTAGCTCTAGATCAGAAAAGACTTCAATGCCAATTGAAAAGAAAAATGAATGGTATGCGAGTACAACTGAGGTGTTTGTACCTTTATTTTTAATTTCAAGGCGTACAGCCCGTGAATATAAGTTCACGGGCCCATATCCCAAGCACCCCCCTACTTCGAACTGCTTTAATATACTGCAGGCTTCCTTTATACCTAGGTAGGCAGGCAGCTAGCTGCCAACACCTTATGCATGGCCAGGCCCCCGCCGGTAGTTTTGTGGGTACGCGCGGCGGAACAACATTGCCACCTGATTTAATGACTAATGTGACTTCTATCTAGGTAATCGCCATCCCAGACCTGGGGTCGGGATTTGCAGGTTAATATCACATGAGCACACGGGAATCAGATTTACACCATCTCCGTTTGATGTATGAGCATGCCATGATCGGGAAACATATTGAGCTGTTCGAGATATTACGCTGGCAGTTTGCCTCATAATCCACATCATTTGGTAGTAGCCGGGTCTCAGAGCCCCTTCAAGTTACAATTCTGCTCCCTCCTAAGTACAGGCCATTTGGACTCCCGGGTATGTATAGAACGCCAATCATGCTTAACAAGTATACACTGACTGCAGCGACAGAAGCTACATTCATGGGCCAGTGCCGGAGGAACAGTAAGCACCGACATTCAAGCCCAGATCGACGCAGCCGAACCCGGTCTGGCAGACATCGGCGACAACAGCCTCGCCATTTTCGCACCTGTAGCGGGTGACGCCATCAGATCTGTAAAAGATATGTTAGCCAAGGACTGTTTCTGGGGACCCAAAGATTGTTTATTGGACTTACCCACACCACCAGTCGTTGGGGTAGACACAGGCAGCCATGACGGAAGTGGCTCCGAAGGTAAGGGCAGCGAGGACAGCGACAGCCTTCATCGTGACGAGTTGAATTTGGGTGTACGGTTGTGAGGAGCGTGTAAATTGTGGAAGCGAGGACAGAGATGATTGAGTCGTTGAGGGTTTGTCTCTTCCCAGACCCAAGTACAGTCCTCGAGAACTTATATACTGCGGTCTACACATCGCATTCATATCCTGAGATATAACATACAGTCATTGGCGATAGAAGTGGCCGGGATAACATTCAACCAGCCTTGAGTCAAGTCGGGAATGTCGGCATAATCCAACTTTACGCCGGCCCCGGGCCCACCACGATCTGCACAGTTGCATACCTGATCCACGAAACCAGTTAAAAATAATTATCCCTTGATTTTAATTAAAAGGCCAAGCCTGCCCACTGCATACCCCATTTTAACGTGTATGGATGTCCATTTTTGGAGACACTTATGAGAACCTTGGAAGGACTGCACACCGCCTCAAAAGCTACGCGTAATGTCAGCTCACAAGCTCTATCCACGTAAGGCGTGCGAAGCGATTCAAGAGATGGATCCAGACATCCACAACGCTTGGCATCATACGTTGGCGACGAATACTGCAGATTCATACCCCTTGCATTGGTGTACGGAAGCAGTGTTCTGTCTTCTCCAGTCCTTGCTAAAGCACCACCCACAAGCTCTCTTTGATTCGGGAGAACGGCAGCTTCGCAAATCTGCAGGTGCTGCGGCTTTAGACTGAGGTACCAATGTTTGGCAACTTACTCCATTAGAACATCCAAAGTAGGTTTATTTCCAACTCCAGGCGCACCGGGAGCCGTAACACAACCATAGACCACATGAAAGCACCCGTCTGCTGTCTTCAGCGTGACCATGTTCATGGACCCCACATACCCCGCAAATATCGTTCCGGGACTGTAAGAATACAACCCGATACTTGTTCCAAGAAGAGGTTCTTGGGGACCGAAGATCAGGATAATTGTTTGTCCACTTCTGTGTACGTACCTAATAGTAATAGTGGACAGGAGATAAATGTCGACTCCCGCAACACAATGTTGCTGGGAAGAGAGACAACTGAATACACATTATTGGTCTTCAATTCTTACGGGCTCGCCGTGAACGAGGCGAACAATAGCAGGAAACGCAATATCCGAGCTCGTGGTTACTGGAGACTGAAGTTGTATCCAGCAGCCAGACAAATACCCCGCTGGCGAAGTCCCCTAGTCAGACCATCATTTTTGACGATTTTGAATCCCATGTCCCCTGCCGCATCATCGGCAATGAGGTGCACGATTGAGACCTCGCCTATAGCGAGCCCATCATACTAACGATGGGAACATAAGTCCACTTTCGAAGCGGCACAAGGTGCCTCCAGCACAAAGTCCAGCCCGTACGGCAACTGCCTTAGCATGTACAAGGTGAACTCAGAAAAATCAGCGATGATCGCAGTAATTCACTGATTAACATCGGCAACGATTGTCACCCGAAATCTTGACCGAGTGTCCCACATACCCCGCATCTCTTTGGGCTCGCCCACGTTGTATGGATGGGATGCCGGAAGTCGGTCTGGGGTCTGAGCAGCTCGCAGACGGGCAGGCCAACTGATTCTCAAAAGGTGTCCCACGGGGTCATAGCACGCGGGGTCAATGAGCATATTTGCCAGGTGGCCGACGAGAGCCTCATCCACGCCGTCGTTGATTCGGTCGATCCGTCGAGGGTCGGGGGCGATGAGTCCGGGGGCGATTTCTGCAGTGCAGGGCGTGGAAGACGATGTAGGCCGAGCCGAAGAGTGTGCTCTAGTCCCAGCCCTCTATGATGGTTTGGTTGTCACCCTGACGATGGAGCCGCCGAAGACGTTGTGATCACGCCCACTGGGAGGGAGATACACATGAGCACCCCATCGGAGTATGGTAGGTTCACCTGAAATGCATCAATTTTGGCGGTTTCGAGGTCATAAATTGGACGAATCATTCGGTGATTCGCACTGAATAAGATGCTCGAAGCATTTGTCCCCATGGCGGGTTCGGTTCAACATGGTGACATTTACCAGAGCTCAGACTTTAATACGATCCGAGTTATTGCCTTCTCGGGGACAACCGAAGGGTGTAGAAAAGCATGACTACTTAAGTGACTGACCCGGATGTGACAAAGGTGGACTATTATAGTAAGAAAATTATACCTAGGTTAGACTTAGTGAACTTAGACCTGCTTTCCTCTACTAAGGCTTTTTAGCCCCTAATTTTGTCTTGGCTGTAGAATTTAAATTTTAGTTAATTAGAGTTTTAGAATTAGGGTTTTAATGGGTTTTAGTTAATTAGAGGATATAAGTTTGAGACTTTTTGGTGTTTTTATTTGAGTAGGAGTAGTGCTTACTTATAATTTTTAGTTCTTTCTTTCTTTTTTCTTTTTTTTAAAAAATATTTAATATTTACTCTTCTTTTTTTAGGTAAGTTTTTTTTTTCTTTAAAGAATTAAAAAAGATATAAAGGATTAATATTTAAGTAGATTTTTTTTTAAGATTTATTAAAAAGGGACTTTAAAAGGGGGAAGGAGGGTTAAGAGAGGGTTTTTAAGTAGGAAAAAAGGAGGAAAAAGTAATTATTATCTTTACTTTTAGGTTGTAATTAAGCCTTTATAAGGTTAAATTTTAATTTTATAAGAAAAAAAAATATGTTATAATAATTAAAGGTTGATTTTAAGTTAAATAATATATATTTTATTAGGATTAAAGTTTTTTTAAGGTTATTATTAGCTTTATTTTAAAAAAATATTATAATTTTTTATATAGGGATTATTATTTTTATTTAAGGTTTAATATTATTTATATATAAATATATATAGAAGTTTATATTAAGGGTAGATAATTTATAATTAGTATAAATTTAGTGTTTTAATAATATAAAGTTTATTTAATTAAGATAGTTTAAATTAGGTATATACTTTTAGGTATATCTATATTTATAGAGTCTAATCTAGGTATGCTCTTTAAGGTGGTCTTCTGGAGTTACCCGAGATATGTGTACAGGGGTACATTATAAACTCCAACCAACCACTCGCCCTTCTCTAAAGCCCCCTGCAAAATGTAGCATTGAGTGAACTCTACTGGCTGTGTGGCCCCAGAACTTGAAACCCTGGCCCCACTGCGGTCAGGTATCCTGCCCGCCCAGGCGACGACATCATACCATGCCTTGTAGCCATTGACCGCTAACGTTCAGAGCAAAGTGTCGACAAGCAACTTGAACCTTTATATCGATGGAAACGTCTAGTTCCTTCCAATCGGCAACGTGGCCTCTGTCGTTCCGGCTCAAACAGCCGAAACCAGGTGAGCACGATGGCGACGGCCACGAGTCTAAGCAGCAATGGTGGAGCTACGAGCTGTATCGCGGTCCGCGAAACCGGAAACCCAAAGTCCTGTATGCAAGGTCCAGAGCTGAGTCAGAAGAGATCGCGGAGGGATTCAGCCAAGAGCAGGTCTTGGGGTTTGACATGGAGTGGCCATCTTACGACGCGGCCAACAGCAACGGAGGAAGGCTACAAGACAAGATCGGGGTCATCGCCATAGCATGCGAGGACAAGATCGCCCTATTCCATCTCGGTGCATATGCTGGAAGGTCTCCCGATGACTTCATTGGACCTGTACTGCGAGCGATTATCGAGTCTCCAGCTATCATCAAAGCTGGAGTAAACATCCTCGCCGCGGACTTTAGAAGGCTTAAAGACCATTTTTACTTGCGACCACAGGGCGCGATGGAGCTGAGCCACCTGCACAGCCTCGTTACACATGGGACAAGCGGTGAGTTCAATTTGTGCACCACGAAACTCTGCGCCCTGGGCGAGCAGGTGCGGGTGCACTTGGGTCTGCCATTGAAGAAGAGCAGTGTCCGGACGAGCAATTGGAGCCAGAAGAAGCAGCTTAGCCGGGAGCAAAAGTCATACGCAGCCTCCGATGCATATGCCGGGCTCATGTTATATCACTATCTCGATCATTTGAGGCTGTCGATGGAGCCTCAGCCACCACCGCCGCTATACGCAGAGAGGTATCGGTCGATTGATCTACCGGGCAGAGGGACGGCACTCCTGCTACAGCTCGATATTCCTCAAAGTCGAACGAACTTGAAGGTCATCCGGGCGGCAGACTTTTTGGAAGGACGACGTGACGCTACATATGCAGCTGAAATTGCCCCACAGAGCCCGGATTGCCAAGGAAGCCAGAGAATATCGTCACCTGCTCCACCGGGCCAAGAGATTGGAAATCCCACTTCGAGACGCGGAAACTCTGGCCATCCTGCACGAACGAGCCGCAAGACGAAGACGCCAAAGAAACAGCCCAACTCATTACTCCATAAGCTCAAGGCTCACCGGGACAGAATTGCGAAGCATCGGCGGCTGGACAAATGGAAGATCATCCACAACTCGGCGCTGGAGCTCATCGCGAAACACCGCCCCGAGAACGAGATGGCATTGATGCAGCTCAAGGGCGTCGGGCCACAAACGGTGAAGAAGTACGGGGCTGCGATATTGAACCTTGTTGCTATCCACGTTGAGCAGGAGAAAAGCCCCAGCGAAGTCGATGACTCGATCGGCGAGATCCCCTCCAGCGACCTTGACAGCGACGGGGCTGTATCGCGTGTCAATGGACCAGGTGATCAGCGGGAAGCAGGCAGACAATCAAGCCCAGACTCCGGGACGTCGGGAACACGCCCCGTCCAGCAAAGTCTCGTCGGGCGTGGCAGCGGGTCGCATCCTATCGAGCTTGGCGGTTCAACCGATGCAGACTCTGCCGAGGCCTCATCTGAGCGAGCGCTTAAGAGACAACACATTTCTACCGTAAGTAACCCACACAGACTTGAATCACGAGTTCGTGCTACTTTCCTTTCCTGTCCACTGGGCGCTGATATGCCAAGCGACGCATGCAGGGACCGCGCCACGGTCTGCTGAAGTACTTCAGAGTGAACAAAGACGCCAGGGCGGAAAATGTCAGTCGCAAGCCATGAGGTTGGGTGGTATTGCATCACGACAGGTGACGAGCGACAGATGATCATGGCGTTTCCGAGCGGCGTCTTCCTGAGGGAAAGAGGCTCTACAAACAAGCTCCCAATGCGACGTGAACAAGACGCCAGGCAGCGTCAATCAGCCTAGTTTCCGCGCGAAGAATGAAATAAAAGAGAAAAACCTAAAAGATGGGAGAATATCCATGTCAGCACTAGGCTCCTTCCGAACATAATAAGCACGCAGCAGGCAACCCGGGCGCATCCCCTTGGACGTAGCACCTGGGCAGGGTCTTGGCGCATCCTTCTCGCGCAGCACAGCTCCTATGATTCGGCCCCGGCCAGACCTGACCTTATTTTTACGGGGCTGTGCTCAGCGTCCTTGGGCCGCCCGGTCGCGTGGCATTTGAAGGAGCGTTCGCATGCGCCTCAACCACATGCCGTCTGTCTTCTGCTACTGCATGGCTGTGAGACAAACACGGGGTAGGTGCCTGGGCGTTTTCTGACAGTTGGCACGGCGTTTTTATCTGGAGACTCCTTGTCGTGGCGCAAGATTTGGTTCTGACTCCCTCCTCGTCATACGAGTTCCCGTGGTGTGCCTTTGTCTCCTACTTGTGTGATATAAGACGAAAGCGGCCCCTAGACTCTGAGTCTGATCGGCTCCGGTTATTAATCACTGCCAGTCTAAATTACGACAACAGTTGTCGTTAACAGTATCTGAGTATCTCTTTTATTTTACATTTTTACCTCCAACCAGTCAAATAGTCCACACAAACCACACCACCTGCGACTCAGTATCCTGAGCCCCTCGTCACGCAATGGGGAGGTATATCGATCCCAATGTCAGCTCGGGTGTCAACCTTGGCTTTACGGCCCTCATGATCGTGCCCTTGATTGTGATCATGTGCATCACCTATCGCCGAGCACCACGCGCCGCAGATCCCGCACGGGGAGCCGTCCCATATTTTAAGGTCGTGCTGCCGGTGACCACAGCGTAAGTTCGGCTGCATCAAAGACAATACCCACAGCGAGCCTCTTCCTGACTTGCCGTGATTCTCGGGCCAATTCCACTGACTTCTTTGTCAACAGATGGATTGTACTGTACACAATAGCAGGCATCCTTGGCATCGTACTTGGTAACGCCTTGTCTTCATGGGAGGCCCGAATGGTAATGCAAGAGGCTCAGCTGCGAATATCCACCATAGCATCCCTTGGCGCCCGCTTGGCAGACTTCCTCATGATAATGACACTCGTCGAGATGGGCAATGGCTTTCTCTTCTGTCTTGCCGAAATGAGGACAGGACTCCAGAAGGCAATGAAATACGTTGGGATTGGGAGCTGCGCCATCCTCGCCATTCTTGCAGTCGCATTATTTGGCATCACTAATGCCCTGTATTCCGCGTATTTCGGCCAGAACGGCCTTTACTACGAGGATTCGGAGCGTCTGTACGATGCCAGGAAGGGAATCAGTAGCGCCCTTACCATTGTGGTGTTCATCTGGTCTTTGGTGCTTGTGGTTTTCGCAGCAATTGTCTTCACCAAGGCGAAGCGCAACCACGTACTGAGGAACGTAAGTAGATCCACATCCCTGCTACAGCGTTGCCAAATTTCGTCTGACAGCTTGTACTGACACTACTTCCCTCTCCAGTCAGCAATGCTCTTCCTCATCGCCACCGTCTTGTACTTTATCAGCAACCTCTACCTACTCATCTACACCGCCCTCTTTGTCCTCTCGAATTTCTACCCCTACGACAGCTACGAGACCTACACAGCGCTCCTGTTCATAGATCCGATCGTTGTCACATGGACCTTTGTCATTGCCTCGTCACTTGTCTGCGCTGTTGTCGTCCGAAAGAACAACGGCTTGTGGTCTACCCTGCAACCGTGGATGAATGAACAGATCCCACCGGCGCTGGCTGCGAACGCGAACTACAAGGGGCACGGCGAGCAGTGGCAACAGCCATCGAACAACCATGTTATGGGCGTCTAGTGGTATTTTGCGCTGGGTAGGGTCGATGGTCCGGGATTTACCGTGCAGGAGTATACGTATCTTGAGTGGAAGCAGTAACACCTAGAGTCGGAATAATACAATAATAGATATCTGCATATACACTGCATGCAGGCAAGATCTTTCAATCCTTTCCGTGATTTTCATGATCTTCTAGAATTTATGCAGGATACTTTGAGGTAGGCTGCCGATGGGTTCCCAGGTGTAATTTCATCGAGTACCTAGGTATGCATCTGCGGACTTCTCACGGAGTCCAACGTGAATGACGCTCACTGCCGGGCTTCCCTCTATAATGATCATTCTCTCAATCTTTTATGCCTTGTCTCGTATCCACCTCAACGTACGTCTCTGCGATTCTAGTGGCACAAGGTGGCCTGCGGGCTAGTCTCCCAAGCCGACGGGACCTGCCGGGAATGGTTGCCTAGGGGGCCAGCGCGCTTACTGTCCACCTTGATCGATTCGATCAGCCGTCGCTGAAAAGTGTGAGGCGATGGGGCGAGGGGCCGGTGTCTGCGGCCACTTGACGCAGGGGGCTAAAGTTGCTAGCTACCTAGGGTAGGCTGTCTCCCTTCTGTCGTGTCACCGATGCAGAATGTTTTGGTGCCTAATCGGTCGGTTAACTCGGAAGTCGACTCGGGAAACAAACTGTGCAAAGCAAAAGCATCTGTTCAAAGGAAGCTTCAAGCTCAGATGGGGTGGCTGTGGTCTTGGGACACCGGCTGGTGGCCTGTGGCTGATTTCTGCCCGACGGGTCGGATGCCAGCTTCATAATACAGTATAGATTTCGAGATTCCTCTTTATCAAGTGCGAAGAAACTTCACGATATCCTCATCTACACATGAGAAAGCGTTCAACTTCTTCCATCATACCCTTGTGTGGGCTCTCATCAAAGAAAGCACAACCGATCGAATATCCACCAACTCCCGTCACTCTATCACAAATGTCGTTCCCAAAAGCATCCAAAATGAGCGCGGCGGTGAGACCTCGATGTTCGGAAAGGGAAACCAATGCACCGCCTGCAGGGTTAAAGCTGCAAGCCAACCCCTTTGCCGCGGTGGCAATGGCGTCTATCCGAGACCTGTTGCCTGTAGCTGTCCTCATTGCGTATGCCATCCGCAACAAAACGAATGGTGCGACCTCGTGATAACAAGGTGTTACTCTAGGGTTATTATTCTCGGCTCTAAATCAGTCACGTTGGCCTTAAGTGACAATTCAGTGGGTCGAATGACGCTCGATATTGATGTCCAGCTTGCTGCCATAGGTCTGGTGAACAAGTTCATGGACATGGTCGTGACGGCGTCGCTCCGGCACACTGCTGCCATCTGTCTCACGTTATGGATGACAGCCAGCAAGTACGACGGCGTCGGCCTGCTAGACTTCGACCTGAAGAACGAACTGACCCAGCCTTGGACATGTGTTCACAACTTCCATCGGCGGCGGGTGTTGCGTGGCTGGCGGGGTGTGGGCCTACTAGGGATCCTCCGCTTCATCACGTCGCTCGCCATATCTACCTGCGTTTTGTTCCTACCACTCGCTATCAACACAATCGGAATCCCAAAGGAGAGATGGTACCCTCGTGCGGAGAATGGCGGATTCGAGCTCACTGACGGGATCCGCCGCCTGATGACCATCAGCACGCCTCGGACGGAGATTCTTGGATTAGCGTGGCCAATATCCCTGGACGAGGAACCAACTCCGGATTCTTTGGACGCGACTGCAGCACGTCTTGCAGCTACATCTTATATTGCCATGCGCAGTGTCGTAGACCCCTATAGCGATCCTCTCGCGGGATGGGCTCACGTGGGCAATCAAGATCCTGACACCACAACTGGCATCAACACCGTGGTAGGCAGTGGGACGGTTCAGACTGCATCCATTCAACACTCGCGCCTCAAAAAGGTTTATAGAGAGCTCAAAGCCAACAGCACGGAAACATTTCACCGAAATTCAATAGGCTGGCATCTGACTCTGAACACCACCACCCCGATGTTGTCGACAACCTGCTACTCGATGTCACCATACGCTGTTGAGGAAGAGAATACCGTCAGCGTTGGTTATACCATTTCCCCATTTATTATGCCACAAAGATTCTCATTCAAGATCAGGTCCGGCCCGTCGATGACTCGTTACTGACAGCCTCGTCGTTCTTCGTCTCCATCGGGCCCGTCTGGTCACTGAACTTCACAGGCTCCACCTGCCAGATAACACTAGAACAGGTCCTCTTTCCAACCCCGCACTGGTTAGAATGGATAGATGGAGTTGAAAACTTCACCTTGTCACTCAATAACCGTGGTGCGGACAGGAACTTGGTTCCGGTACCTCTAACAGGTTCAACGGGCGACCGTGCTTGCACGGAGTCGCTGCAGACCAAATTAAGGACTAACCTGGGTCGTATGGAGAAGCTGCTAGACAGTGGCGTCGCCCACCACATAATTCATACAGCACGACGATTATCACATATTAACGCGGGATTCAGCAAGACGACAGACCCGGATGCCGCAAGCACAGCCCCAGTTATAGCCGCAATCGCCCAGCATCTCATAACCGTCGCATCGTGGGACACCATGGAGTCAGCCGATGTAATGGTGGACTCTTTCCCTGTACGCTGGAGAGTCTAAGGGTCTGGGCCGAGGCTGGCCTGGGAGTGGGCGGCGGTTGTCATCCTCGTCGTCGTACTGCTTGCTGTGCTTGTCGGGGGTGTCTTTGGGCTCGCGTCCGGCATCAGGCCTGGAGCATGGCTGGAGACTGCCGGAATCCTCCTTCTTGCCAATAAGTCTGATGTTATGGAGAGCACGAGGGATAGTGATGGCGGGGTCGTCGGCCAGAGTGCGGCGCGGGCGAGATATCGTGTCCGACAGAGGGCGGATAACGGGTGTCGAAACGCCGCGTTGGTGTTGCTGGATGATTCGGCAACAAAAAGGTCCAGAGACATGAGCTGGTCAACAACGTGCAGTGACGAGCCTCGTGTTGTCGGACCAAAGCGCATGGTTTGATGTTATCTTCGGGGTTTGTACCACAAGACAGAGCGGATGTGTTTGAATACAAGGTTGACTACTTAAAATGTTTCCATGCCAGTCATAATAATCACATGCAGTCTATGCCCTCCATCCTCAACGCCAATCCTTCACTTGCCCGTGAACCTGAGCAGAACTGATCAGGATGTCCTCCAGTCCAGATGCCATGCCAGCCCGGGCGACTAAGTGCGCCATAACACCAGATAAAACAATGTTACAGTCCCAATGACATTAACACACCTTCATGTTTCATTTACACAGCCTAAGACCGCCCACGTAGCCCATGGCCCCTCAACCCATGGCATACTTAGACTTGGCACGCAGCTTCTGACCATAGAACCAGAAGAGGTACGGCGCCGGGATACCGACGAAAATACTGACGAAGCCCAGCACGCTGTTGCCCCAGCCGTAGCCAAGGGAAGCGTACATGTAAGGCGCGAAGAGCGGGAAGCCAAACCCGGCCAAACTCCGCAGGACGATGACGGCAGCCATGCCGCTGGCAGCGAAGCGGGTGTACGAGTCGATGACATACGCCTGCATGCACTGCAGACACGTGATGGATCCCGCGGCGAAGATGGTGATGCCGATGTCAGGCATGATCCAGTGCAGCCGGGCCTGCGCGCTCCATCCGTACCAGAAGAGGCCGATGGGGATAAGAAGAGAGCCTACGAACATGGAGGGGATGCGGAACTCGGGCCGGCCTTTCCTTAGCATACCCGGAGGTCCGCCGGGTGGTCCCCCAGGGCCGGGTGGGCCGCCGGGAGGCCCGGGGGGCGGCATCTTGGCTGTTGGCGGGTTGTTGCCGTGCGCGGCGTGGCATTCGCAGTTGCAGTTGCAAGCCATCTTCTTCTCCTGGAGTGGAGGGCTCTGCCCCATCGTCGCGTACATCTTGGCCGTGAGCTTCTTGTACAGCCGGTCTGTGATCTGCGCGTTGACCTGCGCCCCGAAGAAGAAGCCCAGGCCGAGTGAGATGTAGTGCAGGCCGCTGATGCCGAGGTTCTGGCCGTACACCTCGGTGTAGAGGGTGGGGAAGGTCGACAGGATCAGGTAGAAAAGGCCGAACAGGTAGCCCATATACACGGCGATGATCTGCACGATGGGCTGGGTGGCCAGTAGCCGCGAGGGCCGTGCCATGGAGCTTGCGATGGCCCTGCCCAGCGACTCCTGCTTGTCCTTGGCGATGTAGAGGTTTTCGTTGCCAGTCTCCTTCGCCAGCCGGTCGCGCTTCTTCTGGAGCAGGATGGTGGCGTGGGACTCGGGCATGTGGTAGATACCTGCGAATTGGATCACGATGGCGGTGATGGTCGTTGCGTAGAACACCCATCGCCAAGTAGTGTTTTCGGCGATGAAGCCACCTGCCAGTGGACCAATGACTGGACCAAGTAGCGGTGCAAGACTGTATAGACCAACGGCTTTCCCACGCTCATGAGGGTCCCAGATATCACTGAAAGATTAATGTCAGTGAGAGCAAGGCAACATTGAATGTCAAGAAAACTTACGTTAGAACTCCTCCACCAACAGCCAACGGCGCACTTCCACCAATACCGCTCATGAAACGGCAAACCAGCATTTGTGCTCCTGTTTGTGAGAAACCACAACCGAAGTTGAAGCACAAGTAGTAGAAGTTGGTCAAGAGCAAGACGGGTTTCCTGCCGAAGCTTTCTGATAGGGGACCGAATATGAGGGGACCGATGGCGAAGGCGAGCACGAAGATGGACAGACACATTGCAGACAAGACGGTGCTGGTGATGCCAAGGTCGTGTGCCATGATCTCGAGCGCAGGGGCAACCATGGATGATGAGACTGGCGAGATAAAGGTGAAGGCTGAGACCGACATCGTAGTGGCCCACTTCTTACCCCTTGGCCAGTTCTTGGGGTTCTCTGGATCATCTGGACCATTCCATGCCACCTGTTATTTGATTAGCCCAATACTCAACAGGGTGGCTGTGAACAGTAATAAGAGTCAACTTACAAGATCAGGGTCCTTCTGGGGCTCTGGGGGGCGGTATGGTGTCGCTATTGTCTCTAGACTTGAGCGAGATACTGCTTGTTCCTCGTCGAGAAGTATTCTTGGCCTCCCATTGTAATAAAATGCTTGGTCTGGCCACTGCGGTGACCATGGTCCATCCTCGAGGCTCGGCTCCCTGGGTACCTCCACGTTGATCCTTGGCGGTTGTGTAGACATCTTGCCGGGTCTACTCATTTTGCATATCGAGCTTCGACTGACCGCTGGTGCCGAACTTCTGAAACGCTCAACGGCTGGATGTGCCTTTCTTGGTGTTTGATTTATGTAGGAGGGCACAACCAGGTATTTGACAGAATGGATCACAAACCGGGGCCATCATTCATGCACACCAGTTCATCCCCAAGTGCTATTAATGTACGATCGGCCCAAGCCCGGGTCCGTAACCAAGCTTTGTTCTGTCATACCGCCGCTGGAGAGGCCGTCGGACTCCCCCAGGCCCAAAAGTCGCACATCCAGTCAGCGCTGCTGCAAGGCGCAGGTGTTGGTTGGCTATGTAGGTCAACAATCGATGTCAGCTGAAGTGCCGAACGTCATTTCTTGTTGGCTGCTGGCGCGCACACGTGGCCGGATATGCTAGGCCTCGGTCCCGAAGCTGCGCCCGCCGCTGCACGAAAGTCCCGTCGACGCTTGCGTTGAAAACACCGGGCCAATAGGCACACAACACTACCTTTTCTAAGCCCACTCGGCGCACATAGCCTCCCCGCACTAGACCAGGTCACCGCCTGCGGATGGTCGTGGTGACAGAGACCACTTTTGCCTTCTTATCCTCGTAGAAAGACCTCAGCAGAGGTAGAACGGTAGCACTGCAGCCTGAAAGTAGACGCATCATCATTTGAGATCTGGTCCCACCCATGTCCACTTGAGCGGCACGCTAGGCATTCCACGTGTGGTCCAAGGGTACCAAGAGGGTGGTGACTTGCGGGCCGAGATGATGTATTCCCAACACTTCTTTCACGATCGGCCTGTGTACGATCCGATTGGACTGCAAACGGTATCGAGGGGGAGCCATTCTGAAAAAGGTAGCAAGAAATTCTTCCAACGGTCTTTGAGTAATGCTAGCATTTAGGATGCAATGTGAATTCGGATCTTTCGCTCGATAGGTGCTGCCTCGGCTAGAGTCATCCGACAGGATACGGTGTTTCGAAGCAGACAATGCGGTAAGGCTTTCAGGATTTCAACGACCGGTAGGTCCGGGACTGTAGATTTCAGAAGCCAGTAATTTCTTGGTGGAACCATCGTAGCTTGGGTGCGGCCGTGACTGATCAGGATTAATAACTCACCACTCCTCAGATTCCTGAAGCGAATGGTCACCGACACCAATGAGAAGGCAGTTCCTGATTTCGCGTCCGGTGGAGAGATGCGGACGGCTGAAGAATCCTTCACTGGAGCCCGCATGATTAACACTGTCAGCACGGGAGACGGGATGCTCCTACACCCCGCCGATATAATACCCGCGTGCTATCCGGCGGTCGATCATGGTGAAAATCTGGACGTTGTAAGTGGTTATCTTCCCAGTTCGCTACTTCAGCAGATGGAAGTCAACCTTTTGCTGTGCCGCTTCGCCAAATTATGTCATTGCGCAGACATGGTGGAGCAGGAGCGTGGAGAAGAATGTATATCAAATCTCTTCAGACACTTCCAGAAGACGGAATTCAGTGATAGGAAACGTCAAAAACGCAGCCCAAGACCTTTCTCGAAAATCTCGCGATCCTCGCATCATCTGGGCAAGACCGAGGACATGTCCGCGATCATGACTGTCGCGAGCCGCGGCAGCGATACGTATCCCGACACCAACAGACGAGCGTCAGGCGGTAATCAGCGGCAGACTTCATGAGGCAACGGCAGGTGGCACCTTCAGGCCAGCCCAAACTTCTCGCAGCCAACCACACCTGCATCCTCCATCCTTTGTCCGCCACCGAATCTGCCGAATGAGCCGAATCCTCCGACCGGAATTTACACCGACTCCACCGTATTGCAACGCCTTTCAGCCCCCAACTACTTCTATGGTGCAGACATGCCATCATCATGTGACTGCTGTCCAGCAACATATGTATCATGTTACGATATCTCTGTCTGCAACAGTTGCGGCCATCGGTTGACAGCATCGGCTCTGCTTGTTAGGGTTACCACTCACTATGCTTAGTGTAATCAGTACAGTGTAGTATGTGCAAAGAATCCTACCTCACCCTATTATAGTAATAGTATTTTCAGGTCTATTATACTATATTAAATATCTTAGTTTCTATAGTTTAATAGTTTAGGGTATAAATTAGAAGGATAGAGGAGGAGTAAGGAGGGGAAAGAAGGAGAAGGAAGAGTAAAAGAAGGAAAATAATTAATTAATAAAATAAGTTATAATATAAAAGATAAAATTAAATATAAAAAAATATAAAATAGAAAGAATAATAGTTAAATAATTATTAATAATAATAAATTATTTATTAAATTATTTATTTAATTATATTTTAAATATTTTTTTAATCATTTATACTTACTCTCTTCCACTCTCTCTTTATTATATTTTTATTTATTAAACTATATATAGCTTTACTAAAACCCTCTGTACTATATTACGTTTATCTTAAGGCTAAAGTGGTTTAGTTTTATTTTAACTCTCATACATATTCATTCTACTTGTGAGCCGAGTGCGTGTAGTGTAGCGAGTGACAAGCTGCTGCTTGTGTTGTCAAAGACGTGTTCTTTCGTAGATGTCCAATGCGTGATTGCACCAGGCTCCCCCAGGCTGCTTAACCGGCCAAGTGACATACACGCATCTGAAGGCTGAAGGGAATTCCAGCGTCTTCGAGTCACAACACATTCAAATGAACGGAGACCAGAGTAATTCATTTTTTAAATCTTGTTTTTGGCTCAACTTAAGTGACTCGGACGCACAACTATAGTATACTTAGTCCTACAACATTCAATGTTCTGACATCGTTCGGTGTTAACAGACCGCTGGTACTGCAAGTGGGGCGGCAGGCACAATGTGACATGCAACACTGTCACAGACCCCTGATGAAGTTCACATTGAGTTCCTTTACGTGTGGCGTAACAGACATTCGTGGTCATGGTACTTTTAAACCTCAACCAAGGAATAATCAGAGGTCTCATGCTGAGGTTTGATCAGTCCTTCTCTCCTTGCCTCGTTCAGAGAGAGGTAACCCCACGAGAGCTCGGCCTCCTGATCACTACTCATCGGAGCCTCTGAGGTCATCGTCTGAAGTTCGTTTGTAATTTCGGAGGCATTCATGGCTTGGACCACATAAAAAAAGCGAAACCACAACCAAATTCATGGCGTGGGAAAACACACGATAGGATGTGACTGGCGCGAGTAAATGAGCCTCAAGTGCTAGTTGCTCGCAGCTGTCGCGCCTGAGACCTGGCTATAAAAAACCTCAACTCCAAGCTCCAAACCTATACCTGTGATCATTTTCTCGTTGTCAACTTGAACTTGACAGATCTAAGTCAATAGTTGACATTCCCTACGCGAATATTCCACTCAAAATTCAAAATTATCACCATCGGTCAGCCAGTTCCGACCATGAAGTACCTTGCCTACATCCTCGCCGTTTTCATGGGCGCTTCGTGTGTCCTCGCCGTGAGTCCCGCCTACGTATTCAACCACAGAGTTTGTCCAGAAAGCTGAATCACGGCGCAGGCACCGAACCTTGAGAAGGAGCCTATCCAAAACCCCGGTTGGTCACTTGAAATGCTTTTGCTTCCGCTGCCTTCAAAACCAGCAACCTCTCCGTCTCCGCGCCCGATCCTCGGCGCATCGGTAGCACTGTGCCGCCAGGCGGTCCCGATATCAAGGCCCGAGATCTGCTCTATGTTACGTGTGATGTCTTTGATCAGGACCATGGCTTTTTCAGCACCCCACGAATGGATGTCCAGCATAATATCGACATGCTGAGAACCTTGAACGATAGCAAGCCAGGCGAAGTGAAAGAAGTAAGCCCTATACACCTGTTTCTCATCCATTTTGAACGATAATGGCTTATAAAAACTTAGGGTAAATGTTCGCTAGCTATTTGCCAGAATGTATCGGGAATGAAATCGGGAATTGCTTGGTGCGTCAAGAAGGCGGTGGGAGTAAGTCTTCAGATTGCTACCCCACCCCCCAGCAAACAAAAGCTCAAGCCTGGTCTGTTAGGCTTTTATGTCCATTTGCTGACATGTCTCGGATTGGCAGCATCCATACACCGTGGGCAGCTGGAACTTAATTGCCGATGGTGCGCAAATGATATTGGACACCTGCACCCAGGGCTCTCTTGATGCGGCAGCGATGTATGACGATTATTGGGTCGAAGTGTCAAGATGCGAAAATCTGGGCGGCACGACGCTGAGCCACGTGCCCACGTACAGTATTCTCTTTCCACTGTTATTGGCACTGTATTTTGTTTTAAATGCTGGTTCTTGAGGGTTTACCACACTATGAAGGAGCCACATACATTTTGTGTGTATGGGGATTAAAAACGAAACTACCCACTTTGTTGGGAGAATGATCGTGGAAAAAAAATCAGAGACTTCACCCGCCCTGTATCTTGTCACGGATACCAATTCTGCTGCCTAGGATCTGCCCATAAGAGACCCGTAGACACTCAATGACTACTTTTTAACCGCATCGGCCTTTCGTTACAGATCCGACATCTGAAATTGCACCAAGATGATCATATTTTTGTGACAGGGCAACGTGGGTGTTAGTAATGAAGCAAATTCCAAGAGCTTGAGCACCTCAATGGTAGACACCTGAGCACTTGGTTGCTTATTCGCGCAGTGTTTCTCAGCTCACCATTTCAACACCACCGTTAGCATTTCACTGCTACTCGGGGTGTGTGAAAACAGGGAGTATATGAACTGCTACTTAAGAACCATTTCACGCAGTGCACAAGTAACGCTGTGGCCGCTGGCTATTCCTGCCAGCAAGGGTGATGCTATCCAATGCTGAGACTGGTGGATTCGAATGCGCTCCGCCGCCCATTGCGGATCCTGCGCCCACTAGCTGGCATTCGAATATATCGGTTTTGAAGTACTATAAAGTCGGACGTCTCCGCTTCGAAATGGAAATATAATTATCGATTGCGTCACGAGGCTTCATGGAACAAGTAAACAACCCACGGCCTTCGGCCACTACGTCGGATGCTGTGGCGTCGAAGATGTCGGAACCCTGTAACTCAAAGGAGGCTCCGGGCGGGTCCAACAAGTATCTAAGGGGTTGATACCAGAGGCGGGGCGCAGGCCAGAAGCATGACCAAGCTAGATGCCCGCCGAAGCAAGACCGATAGGAAACACAGGGTTGACATCCTCGCCCACAAAGACCTAGAACGTCGCCATCAGCCTCCAGAGAGAAGAGGAGGATGGCCAACGCAACATCGCCAAGGCCACCGATGAACAGCGTGGGCGGTTCGAGAAGTGCAAGCACCATGGCTTTGTTAAGTACTGGAAGCCTTCCAGCCCCGATGCACTGTTGGATGAGGAGTGGTTCATTGGTGACCGGGATGTTTTGCCCGAGGATGATTCGGGATATCTCTGCGACGTGTACCGACATCTTGACTTCAACACGCTCTTGACCAGGCCTGGCCTCCCAGGTAACAACGTCCCCTCGTTCCCCACTCGAATACAATTCTCCGGGCTATGGAGGATGATGCAGGAGAAAGGTAACGATTGCGCCATGTGCGGGTTATTGCGGCGAAAGATCAATGAGAACGGAAGCCTATCCTAGATATCAGACGATGACGTCGAAGATGGGCAATTCTACATCAACGTATTAGACGATGGCCCACAATATGCTCTGAGACTGGAATTTAAGCCGAAGATAGAGTAAAGGACACTTGACAAGATTGTGGTGCAAAGGGTCGAGGAACAAGTCCAGCATCTCCCCAGAGGGATGATTTGTAGAGTAGCATCGGGCGGACATGGACCCTCTGAGGGAATGGCTGCAGATCTGCAAAGGCACCCATCCGGCTTCTGAGAAAGGACTGGAACTCGGTCTGGGCTCGTTGCGCACCATTAACACAGAGGAACTCCGCGATCGTGAGGTGGAGACGCCCTGCAGATACGCCTGCCTTTCACGTGTGTAAGAGATTGCGAGGGGGGGAGGGTGAGGTGGGAAGCAGCCAGACGCAATACACTACGGCCACAAAAGACCAACTGGGGGCAGGAAACGGGCTCAAGGCAGTCAACCTACCCCGGACGATAAAGGACGCTATGAGAATTAACCAGGAAGCTGGCTTGCGATACTTGTGGGTTGATGCTCTGTGTATCCTCCAAGAGGACGCCGAGGATAAGGCAAAGATCATATCTAAGATGAGGGCGATATACGGCGGCGCTACATGGATCCCCCCTATTTACCAGTACGGTAGCCGGCTCTAGGCTCTCGGAAGGGATGCGCAACGCCTTGGACAGTTTCTGCTGTGACACCTCAGATCTCCAGCAACTGGCACGAAACGTTGCGTCGAAATTATCATGGCCTTTCCCTCTTCCGGCAGCAGGGGGTACGCACAGGCGAGCCACCCACGGGTACAGCTTAGTGGGCCAAAAGGAAGAAAACAGCCCACAGACTGAACAGGTCGATATAATATATTATTTTCGTACAATATGTTTATTAAATAGGTTTAATACCTACCTAAATAGTCTCCATATTACTGGTAAAAAAGGTGTTAGGCATAAGTACGAGTTAAAATTATCTCCTTGCTATTTCTCTACCCTAGGCCCCTACTTAGGCCCCCTACTCGGGCCTCCCGCTCTGACCCATACGCTATAATGATGACAAGGTTAGGTCTTCAACCTTACTTACCTAGGTAGCGTTCAAGGGAGAAGGGCCTTGGCGGACGAGGCGCGAAAGGGCATAGAAGCTAGCCGGTATCTCCTATCTAAACTTGATGTCTACTTGTCACATGTGCACCAGTAATCACCACTAATTACATCTGCATTATATGCAAATAATGAGTGATTAACATGCACTGGTGGACGCGGACTGGGCGGTGCAACGACAGGTCCTTTTGTAAACCAGGATCTGCCAACATGTCGCACATACGGATCTCAGGTTAAGTAATCACTCTGGCGCCAATCCATCCCGAAGGTCGAATGATCAGGAGTGCTTCCCCGACCCCATATTTCTCCTCTCCGCCTTGGGTCTCACTCTTCATTGCAGAACTGCATCCTCGACAGCATCATTTGACCAGAAGCTCACTAACACAGCAGTCCTGGGTTCGTCTTTTCATGGCACCAGTGAAGGATTCTGCACAAGATGATTGTTCAACTTCTTCTTGGGTCGATATTGACCTACATCACCTGGAGCTTTGCGTGCTTGGAAGCTAATGTGCGCAAGGCTCGTGACTTTGGCGTCCCGGTCATACGACTGCCAATCGATGCAAACAATGTTGTTTGGATTCTTCTTCAACCTTACTTGTGGATGGTTTTGGACCGCCTTCCATTCGATTGGTCCACCTATCCTCGGTTCGTTCGCCTCTCCCGACGAGGATGGTTCGTTGCTGAAGGAGCCGAACCTCATGTGCAGTTGGGCCCAGTATGGGCCCTCGTGTCGCCCATGGCCGTCAACCTGCATTTCTCAGATCCTGATACCATCCAAGACATCGTGACACGACGTGGGGACTTTCAGCGCCCTTTTCGAGAGCTCAGTAAGTATGACTGAGTCAACCATGACTAAAATGTGCGCTGACCGATGGCAGAGTTGTTGGAAATATATGGCCCATGCATATCGACTGCGAGTTGGGAGGAATGGCCTCGCCACCGCAGAGTTATGGCTACTCCATTCAATGAGTCAATCATGAAACTTGTCTGGGACGAGGCCTAACGTCAAGCTAGGAGCATGCTCCACTCATGGACTCGATCGTCCTCTGCTGGGATCGACAGCTACCAGAAGGACACACGGATGCTCTCACTCAACGTTCTGGCAGCAGTGGGATTTAGGAAATCGTATGACTTCCGTGGCTCAGCGGAGCCATCAAACGACGAAATAGGGAGCTACCGCGATTCCCTCCAGACCGTGCTTGACAACATCATTCTCTTGATGCTTATCCCAGCCCGGTATCTGCGACTGGTGCCCGGCACATGGGCTAGGATAGGCAATACGGCCATAACGTTCAAACAACACATGGAGAAGATGCTCGGTGAAGAGACTCGAGCTATTAACCAAGGCACGTCTGGTTCAGGCGGCATCATAACCTCTTTTGTACGCGCCGCCGATGTTCACAATGTTGAATCCGCCGTGGCATCAGACAAGGCAGGTCGCAAGAAGGGACTGTCTGTAGACGAAGTCTTTGGGAACCTGTTCGTTATCAACTTTGCAGGCCATGACACCACCGCCAACACGTTAGCCTTTGCTATGCTCCTGCTGGCAGCACACCCTGACGTGCAGGAATGGCTGTCAGAGGAGATCAAAGCTGTCACCGAGGGGACCTCAGATGAAATGGACTACAAGCAGCTGTTTCCACAATTGAAGCGTTGCCGGGCTGTCATGTACGAGGTACTACGCCTGTATCCCCCGGTGCCGGCGCTTCCATCGATCTCCTCCAACGGCACACACATGCTCAAGTGCAACGATAGAACTCTCGTCATTCCCCAAGGTGTAACCCTCACCGTCAACATACGCGCCATGCAGATGCACCCTCAGTACTGGCACGATGCAAGCGCCTGGAAGCCAGCACGCTGGATCACAAATCCAGCCCCAGTCGGTTCCACCTCGATCAACCAGATTTCCGAGGAAAGGATTTTGGAGCCCAACAAGAAAATATTCTTGCCGTGGGGCGAGGGCCCGCAGATCTGCCCTGGAAAGAAGTTTGCTCAAGTCGAGGAGGTCGCAGTCTTGGCTTGTTTGTTCAGGGGGCACCGTGTATTCCCGATGCAGAAATCTGGTGAGAGCTCTGCGGAGCTAAACAAAAGGGTGCTGAGATGTCTCAATGATGTCGACCTAGAAATGCTGGTGAGACTCAGGGATGCTGACCAAGTGACATTGGTCTGCAAAGAGGCTTAATCGATATTATATGCTTTGCATGAGATTGTGTCGTGCATTTTTCATTTCATCCTTTATTAGTACCTTTAATTAGTAGCTTGTTAATGGAGAATGGTATAAACAGTTCAGTGACAACCGCTAACTACGACTGTTGTTGCGCTTCCCTTGTACATTCCGCCTGGACGATACCTAGGTAGCCACACTTGCCCCTGGGGATACGGTGACACCGAGAGATGTGAACCTCGGGTCCGCTGTAGAAATGAGCATTACCCATGCATTCGCGATACGCACCGTGGCGTTATTGAAGGCTTTCATGGATGTGTCCATTTGCCTCAACCCTCCGTCGGCTGCGATTCGTAAGTAAGTCCCTGGTTCAGGAATACAGATGCCATTCACAGTCACCTTGGCCCCTGAATTCAGACCCGGGATCAGCTACTGAAGGATCTGGGCCTATACAGAACGCTCTAATCGTGGAAGATCCAGCGCAAGAGGAATACATCAGCCTGATGGACGGCCAGGGGTTACGGTTCAAAGAAATTTTGCTTCATTCCACGAATTCGTTTTCTAAATTCAATGTAGATGCGCGACCCCAATCCCTTGATTACCTCTGATCCTGGAGGATGATTTCCATGCCCTGATACTACTTTGGGAGTGATATGGCCACAATCCCACCAGCTGGCGTGTACCGCCCACGTCAACAAGGGTACGGGTACCGCTGAGATCGCAGCCATTCAGTAGTTGAGCCACACTGAAGCTAGGGTGCTGATGTGAGAGAAGCCCTGTGTGTCCATGAATTTCTGCTACGCCGTCGGATCACGTTTTATCACGTCGAATGGGTATGTCTTGTGTGTCATGACCTAGTGAGTGCACGCTTTCATTGGGTTCCTGGCTGCGTGGCCAACTTGTCGAGTGCTGTAGTCCCTTGCGTTGGAATATGTTGTGCAACATCATGTCTGTACACGTATTGAACACCAAGTATGACATAAGAGTCTCCTGGAAGGCTCAGTATCAGACCTAGCGGTCTGAGAAGTAGCTGCTGCAGTTCGTCAGAAGCTTGGAGAGCAGCGACCCTAGCGGTTTAGATAGCTCCTGGTTGCTAATTCTCGATTCTAAATTCATTACGGCCTTCAGAGGAACGTTCCGAGAGTCCAGGTTCAGAGAAAAGTTCGAGGTGTCTATACGTATTCTCCTGGACCCGAGTAGGAACTGCGTTAATGGTCCGGGTTTGACGACTTCTGTTGCCGGCATCTTGGCCAAAAGTGAAGATACCAGATGAAGACTCATAGGTCAATGAGCGTGTTAATGTGACGAATCAACATGTAGGGGTTGGTGTTGGAGTCGTTTTATTTTTCAAGGTCGCCCGTTATTTTGACAGAAGTACCCCCTTGTGACCTCGTCGTCGGTACTTCTGCAACCTGATGTAACATGCACATTAAGCCTTCGCAGGTCGGTTACCACGCCACTCCCCTTCCCTGGTTCGATTCAAGATTTTCCTACTTGTGACATGCTGCTTCGCAATTTCGAGGCGAGGGGGCTGACCCTTCCAATAGCTGTGCAGTTTCGAACCCCAGCTGAACCTCATGGCCGAGATCTGATCCAATAACCCCGCCACCCTTAATCCACAGCATGGACATGATGATTGACATTCTCGGGCTTGTGACCTTGTCACTCCATGGCCTGGGATTGTCTGCCGCTGTTTGAGCGATTCTGAAGCTCGCGGTTCTGGTTGGAGAGGTCTAGGAGCTCTGGCCAGTCTATATCATTTCTGCAGCAGTGCCGCTGGGCACCGTAGTCAGACCAATTCTTGTACTCGATTGCCCGTTCCCATCGATCACGGTATATGTTGAACTCCGGGATAGCGATCTCTTCATCCACACGTTCCCGATTATTGATGTCGCCTAGGATCGGCAAGGGACACGAAGAAGCTTCAGTCTGCTCCCTCTCAAGGAGCTGGAACAGGCGTTCACTCTGCTCCCCGGTAAGCTTGTATATCCGCTTCGTAACCTCATAGCGGTGAGAGTGAAACCATATGCCGTCATACTTGAAATGACAAAGACACATTGTCAGCAAAACCGCTCTCGATCAGATGAGGTTAGATATGGTGCATGAAGAAAAGACAAAATCATCATGCGGAGGGATAGGGGCTACATGGTCGACCACAAAACGTACGCCTTTTTCGTTACCTCTGCCGAAAAGCACGACTCCACCAAATATCCGGTCTTCAGCCCAATAGCCCGCCATATCGGCCATTCCATCAGGATATTGCTGCTTCGAATAATGAAGCAGGCTAAAGGGTGGCGGCCGTTTTGCTAAATATTCCTGCTCGTACGCATCATCACTTGGCCATACCGCGTTCTTATGAAACCCCCCATCAGCCAGTTTGAAGAGGTGTGCAGCGATGCTGTGTATCGTGGCTACAATTAATTCCAAAAAGGGCATCTTGGAGGCCCTGGAGCCTACGGGTATATCTTGATACCGCTGGAGGGCCTGTACTTTTGTGAGCAGCTTCCAGTCTTGTCTATGATGACACTGGCATAGCCTTGTTGATATTCAATCACTTACATCAGATGAAATCTCTAAATCTAAAGCATTAAAATTGGCCTTGAACTGTTTAGTCTTCTCGAGCGCCCCAGGGCAGATGTCAAGGTGGTTGTCAACCGGGTCTCCCAAGAGAACCCGATGATCTTGAGTTCCCCAGGCTACACTACTTAAAGGAAGCCCATCCACGATCTGTGCAAATGTCTCTTCCGTAACTGGTGTGGAAATGGCATTTAACACTGCTCGTTCAAATGCTCGCTGGTGGACATAGTCAAGGACGTGATCTACCCGGCTCCTCTGTAAAGCTTCTGGCGGAGACATGGTGGCGTATAAAGGATCTGGTGCTCTTGAGCGATGCCGAGGCTCAAACCGCAGTGGCATCTGCTTTACCATTGTCTCAGTGAGATTAACGTTGAATTAATAGATGTTCAGGGCAGAACGGGGATGATGCGGTCAAAATTGCTTATGGTTTGACGGTGACAGAGCGATGCGGTGACAAGCACTCGCCCTGCTGTCCTCAAGGTTCGAAAATTTAGGGTTCTTCGGCTGCAGGGGGCAAATTCAGTTGGTCCTAAAAGCCTCCAGACCCACAGAATCATATCCATATTTCTGCGGAGAACGGAAATTCGCGCACCCTCAATCGGAAGGCACGCACCCTCCCTACTATTCGACCAATCAGAGCACAGGACCTTAAAGTCTTCACAACTTCAACACATAAGGCTTCTTCACAATTAAGGGACCACAAATAGGGCGGGTTGGTCCTTTGGGAACTTGGGTCGTGCCTACCGGCCCTATTCACGGCCCTCCGCTATGCTTTGCGCTCCGGGGCTCGCCCCCTTCGCCCCAGCCAGCCCTTCGAGAAGAAGTCGTCTTGTATTCTATACTTCTTAGTCAGCAAATAGGTGCGCGCCTTCCGATTGAGGGTGCGCGAATTTCCGTTCTCTTTCTGCGGCGGCTGCCTGGATGATGGCATGAGGCACGATCCAAAGAACACTCGTGGCCCAGCAACGAGATATGGTGAATATCGAGGGCATAGCTCCCTAGGAGTATACAGTGACCATGAAAGCCGCCAGACGCTGTAACAACTATTAAAACACACGTGGAGTCGCAGTAAACACAACTGGTTGCTGGAAGAGGTTACTGAGGGGTGCTGTCTTCATTGAAGACCAGACAAACCTCTGACGAAAAAAGAAGTTTTGTACGGGTATGTAGCAAATCGGTATAAATATTCAGAACATCTCCAACAGTGGGTGTATCTGCGTCACAAAAGAAGAGTGCAGCCCTTACAGTTCCCATTTGTCTACAGAGATCGAGCCCAGTCCTCCTTTATCAGATCCGCAGCCTTTTCTGCGACGGCATATACTGTGGATTGTACGTGGCCAAGCGGCTCAATAGGGAACACGCTCGCATCCACCACCCTGATGTTCGCTGTCCCATATACTCGAAGGCGGCTGTCAACAACTCCTCCTTCTTCCAGAGGCAGCATGGCACAGGTCCCGGATGGATGAAAGGCCGTGAACAGCCTTTCGCGAGCAACGTGTTTTGCATCTTCCAAGTCCTCATACAGAGCACCTGACTCCATTGCCCCTGAGTCCCGGGGTACTTCTTCCCTCGCTGGAGGTATTTGGCGCCCGCTGGGCTTCAACATACTGGCCAACGGCTCCGTTTGGGCAATCTTCCTGACGAACAGCAAGGCGCGGGCGAGCAGCTCTATGTCGATCGGGTGTGTCAGGTATCGTGGATCCAAGCGTGGCTGCTCAGTTGGATCGCCCGAGGTTATGTGGATGTCGCCTCTTGAGAACGGATGCATAAGCATGGCGACGATGGTGATGTAATTCCCGTCATGAGACTTGCTGAAGAGCTTCGTCATGTCCGTTAGCGCATCTGAACCGTTGCCATTTAGCTGCAGCGGAAGATACATGAACTCGATGCTGGATTCGCGGGAGTCCAAGAGTTGCTTGCGTAGGATCCCGTGCTGTTTCCCCAAGTTTTGACCAGGCGCGTTGTAAGAGACGCCGTCAAGGTGGTCACGTAGTAGTGCCTCCACGTCAGCCTGGGGGATCACCCCAGAACTGCCGACAAGCGGAGTGTATGCGAAGCTGAGAGGCGTGCCACTCAAAGGCCCTGTGTGCGTCTCTTGATAGAGATTCGTCACGGCACCGACGATTTCGGGGTTCCTCATGACATCTCCAGACACCAAGTCGTTTGCGACTTCGAAGCTGATGCTCGCGAGCACGTGGTCCTGGAGGTTCTCCCCGACGTTTGCGTTGTCGATAACCACTTCAATGCCGTGCTTTGACAGAAGATCGCCCGCGCCGATACCAGACAATTCGAGAAGTTGCGGTGTCTTGATCGCGCCACATGCCACAATGACCTCTCTTGTAGCTTTGGCAGTCTGCCTCGTCCCTTTTGAGTCGACAAATTGCACTCCCGTCGCGGAAATCATGCTGGAGTCCTCGTTGGCCTTCTGCAGAATGATCTTCTCCGCGAGCGCATCCGTGATGATGGTCAAGTTTGGCCGCTTGGCAACTTCGCCATCATAGTAAGCCGATGCCGAGTAAGCCCGGACGCCTTTGTTGATGCATAGCGGATTCTGGAAGACTCCTTGCTTCTTGCCTGCAATAGGATCGCCGGGAAGATTGAAACCTAATTTTGCAAAGGTTTTCATCCATGCCTCATTCTAACTAACTTGTTAGCTTGTTCGCCACCTCGTGATCGCGTCTCCAATGAGCATATTCAACAAGATAGGACCACTCACAAATGGGCCTAATTCGTCGGTAAAAGAAGCCGACAGAGGACCTTCATAGCCTTGCGCCTCCTCATCCACCCAGTCCATCATCATACGCTTTTTAAGTTCTGGGCTAGGTTTCTGGTATGCATGGAACTTTTTCAGGTATGGCATGATCCCCTCACTCTTCCAGTTCTGATCTCCTATTAAAGTTGCCCTTGGTCCTCTGTTAGTAGACTGAAATAACTATCTAGGAAGAATCATGTAAAATGTTAAAAAACGAATGAAAGAGCCGTGTGTATTGCAGGCATCGAGTTCAAGTTCTCAGCTCGATGAGAAGAAGCGGGAAAAGGAATGCAATCATACCAGTTATCAAAATCGCTTTTTGCCGGATAGACAAGGGCAGAAAAGTTCATTGCTGATGTTCCACCAAGGACCTTACCCCTAGGCCAAGAAATCTGCCTATTGTTTGCCGTGCTCTGGGGGACGGTGATGTGCTTCCAGTCATACGCTGGGTCGTCATAGAGCGTGGTCATAAGCCCAGGCGTGTCGATTCTTGGGTCCCCCCGACGATCCAAGCCGGCCTCAATGACAACAACTGTTACATTCGGATTCTCGCTTAGTCGTGATGCCACAACTAAGCCCGACAGACCACCGCCGACAATGACAAAATCGGCAGTGATCTCTGTTACGTTGGCTTCAGGTGCCATGGCGGAGAGGGGTTTCTCGAGTACTTTTTGTTGTGATGCTGCACGCAAGACTGATTGAATGAAATAGTACTCAAAGTTTTATTCGCAGAGGGTAGAGGGACCTTGGCACAAGTTTGAGGTGGCAAGCTTTTATGTCGTCTGCCGTTGTGGAGTGGGGGAGAGCCATGAACTCCGAATCTCATGATGTGAGGGATATTCAGGACCTGCCTAATCGCTCTCTCCAAGACACTGCATGCAGGTTCACCGTCCGATTCCACAAATATGGGCCCAATTACATGCGTTCATGATGTTATTCGATAAGCTTTGCATGTTGGTTCAGCACCTATCTCCACAATTTCTCCGGGCTTAGCAAAGTGACACAATCCGATGAACCAACAGCAACATTTATGTGGGTTTGTTCATTCTGGTTGTCTTTGACGGCAACCCAAAAGTTTGATTGCACTGGTTGTGAGCAGGGTTGGAAATGCGGCACAGCTCCGACCTGTGACCTATTTCAGCTATGGGTGCACAGATGTTGACGGTATATTGTTGTTCAGTGTTCTCGTGCATCCTGAGGGGCGTTTGAGGTCTGCTGTATTGCCATTTCCTCATCATGAAAACCTACGCAATTGACGCACATGCAGACGTGTTGAACAGCCTTGTTGCCTGTATAGTGCTCGTTGTGATTGCAACAATATCAGTGGGCCTTCGGATCTGGGCTCGGCGGGTCAGAAGAGTGTCTCTCTGGGTTGACGACTACACCCTTGTAGCGAGTCTTCTCCTCCTTTACATCCTGCTTGCCATTGAAATTGCTGGTTAGTTTTTCTGTTGCTCTTCAAACTCCCAATACCCATAGGTGACACTACACATGCCAATCGTGGTATTAAATCTCATTGGCAGATGCAAAATATGGCATGCAAACTCACATTGCCGAGGTACCTATTGATAACATCAGTGTCCTCCTGAAGGTGAGACTTTGATTATTCTTTTCAGGTAACACAACTTAAATCGGCTTACCAGAAATAGATGCTTGTTGCTTTTCAACTGGTTTATGGTACAGCGCTGTTGCTTGGAAAGGCATCATATCTGTTTTTCTACCGGCGCATCTTCGTCTCCCAACGCTTCATCAGGGCCACCTGGATTCTGCTTGCTTTTGTGTTCATGTGGTATATTGCGAACATCTTGCAAGTTTTCTTCATTTGCCGCCCGTTTCGTGCAAATTGGGACATCACTGTCAAGGCCGTTTGCGGCAACCGACCCGCGGCTTACACTGCTGTTGGCGGCGTTAATATGATCACCGATTTCGCTATCATGGTCCTTCCTATTCACTTTGTCTGGGAACTTCAGATGCCTACTTCCTCAAAGATCGGGGTATGCTTGATTTTTCTAATTGGATTACTGTGAGTACATGAGTCCTGTCCTCCCTGTAACTTCTTTTAATGGTCAATTCGCTTGCTTCATAGTACTCACTGACATAACACGTGGAATTCAGAATTTGCTGCATCAGTATTGTGCGGATAGTAGTTCTTTCGAAGCTGGATTTCAATGACATCACTTTCACAATGCTGGACTCGGTGTTCTGGACTGTTATCGAGCCGTCTCTGGTCATTATCAACGCATGTATTCCAACAATGCGGCCTGTAATACAGGCAGCCCTGAAGGAGGTTTGGCACAGGGCAACCGGGTCTGGTAGTCGGAGACAACCTGACGAGTACCCCTTGACTGACAATCCCCATGTCCCATATGAGCAAGAGCACTGCAGGCCATGCTCTTGGTTTACCAGCCGCACCTTTACCGCTGCAGAGATCACGTCCATCGGAGGTAGAAGATGGCTCTCATGGGGGGGGATGTTCCAACTGGTGTGATATATGTTAAGAGGGAGTGGGAGGTATCAGAATGAGGTACTTACTTTATTTAATAAATTAACATAAAGCTCACATATGAAGATAAGGTATTCTTTCTGGTGGCTCGGAGGAAGACATTGACAGGTCGCAGTGCAGGGCCGCGAGAACGCCCCGCAAGCCAAAACTGGCCGGGCGGGGGGCCCTGTCCGTCCAGCCCTGCCCGTCCAGCCATGCAGCCATGCCGCCAGCCATGTTGTGTTAACTCTGGTGCCGACCATCGGCCATGGCGACTCGTCAGCTTACCATAAGAATTAAGGTCGGCCTTGTAGAAGGAACAGAGAAAGACTGAAAGAAAAGACCAGGACATTGACAACACCATGCCCAGGTGGGCAAAGCGACCCATCTGTGCAACGAGTTGGGAATGCTCTGCTGCAGCCGCGCGACCCCCGCTGCGACGAGTGACCTCGTTTCCGCGGTTGGAGGTAAACAGATTGGCTAGTTCCTCAGGGTTGGTAGGCACACCCGACTGCATGACGGGTTCAAGCCGGAACAGATACTTCTCGACGAGTGGCAGGCGCGGGCTGAACGCGGGCTCGAAGGTGTAGACGATGAAGGTGCCGCGGCGCCACCGAGCACGGACACCCCTGGCGGTGATGCCGGTGATGATGATGCTCCCAGGACGCCCACCGGCAGGGCCCCACGCGATGATGACGAGTCGGGCGTCCAGGAATCTGATGAAGACTACGATGACGAGGATTCTGACGGTGAAGGGACCCAGGGACCGCCCAAGGGTGATGACACTAGTGCAGTCGCCGACTTCTGCACTGCATGTCACACGTTTTATAACGACTATAAGGAGCTTGCGGGTCCCGCGTCCCAGCCCGATGGGCACGGGACGGGTGAGTACACCGTGAATATCAAGCCCGCTGATGCTGCCGACAAGCGGACCGTGTTTGCGGGGACCATTCAAGGCGTCCGTCTGTTGCAGGTCTACCTGGAGAAGAAGGGATCAAGACTGGCAACCGCGTCTGGGAGTGGTACAGGTCAGCCGACGGCAAAAGATCCCCATGGCTGGGAAGAGGCTCACGTTCCTCAGCGACGTGTTCTTCCCCGAGCGGCACGCGAAGACGGGCGAGTGGCTCATCTCTAGGCACGTCACGTTTGACGAGGGCCACGTCCTGCGCGATTATGGCTCGCAGCAACACGTCGCCGCCACCTTGGTCCCCAAGCAGACCATAACCCTGCTAACGGGCACGCCGCTTTATAACCACATAGGCGACTTCCGCTCGTACATGTTCCTTATTGCCGTGCAGAGCAAGATTGACCACTACTTGTTCCTCATGACTACGGATATCCACTCACTCGACCGCGAATTTCAGCCATCCGAAGACCTTATTCGCCTGCACCAACGGACTCGGGCCTCCCAACCATGGTCTGTGAATATCATGATACTACCTGAGCTTAGCTCAACGTGGGTGGCGTATTAAAGGAGGTAGTGAAAATGGCCATTTTGAGACTATTTTAGTCTTGCTGTATGACTGCTTTGCTGGTTTTGACTTTAGTATTGTGGTAGATTAGTCTTTGGGCTATTTATGTTGATGATTTTAGTGTGGTGCTGTTGGGAGTGATGCCTTCTAGCCTTGTCTGTGTGGTATGAGGCTCAGTTATGTGCTTACGTATTGTATTCTCTTTCTACTGTTATTGGTACTGTATTTCTTTAGATGCTGGGTCTTGAGTGTTTACCACTGTATGAAGGCGCTATGTACATTTTATATGTATGGGGATTAAAAACGAAACTACCTTGCCTGCAGCTTGTTGGGAGGACAGACACATGTCGCGACGAATATGTGGCCCAACTCTTGCCTGGGCTGACTAGCACCTGGCCAGACGCAAGTGATGGTGCCTGTTGCGTGACTTCCGCATTATGGCGGCCAGTCCTGACCCGACTACAAAGCTCATCGCCTGCAGGATATTTGCGGGCTCCCTCATGTCCCGGCGCGCCCTCTCAATCCCCCTCGTCGACCACAAGGGCCGCACCGTCTACCCTACCAGTGGGCTCCTGCCGTGCCACGTGCACACTACATATTATATCCAGCACAACAGGGTGCGTAGCGAGCGCCTTGTCTTTATTACCGATCTCATGAATGCCGAGGTGAGGAGGGCCAACATGGAGAGGGCCAGCGGCGGAAAGACCCCAACCATTGCCAGGCCGGCGTGCGTGCCGGCCAGGGCCGCGGCATCGTGGTCGACGACCTCATCGAGTCCCACGTCCTCCACGTCCTGAACCTCCTCCGAGGCATCCGCCCTCGGATACAACCGCCTCATGAGCAGCTTCGCAACCGACTGGCTGCTCTTCCGCCTCTACTTGGACCCCGAGGTGAACAACAGGCATACGCTCCAGAGGCTCACCCTGCAGGAGATAGCCGCCGTCAGGGGCGTCCTGAAGAACGCCAAAACCGGAACCGGCCTGCCAGATAACCTAGCAAAGGATAGCGCCATCCACGCACGCCTAGGTTACAAAGGAGGCACAATCATACCATCCTTAAGCAACTATAATGGTAAAAGATGCTGCTGTTTATAAACAGCCTAGGCTTTATCCCTCTTAGTAGTCTCTTATATATAACCTCCTACTCTCCCTCCCAATTCCTACCCTCTCACCTCCTACCCTCTTACCTCCCATCTCCTACCGTCTCACCTCCTACCCTCTTACCTCCCATCTCCTACCCTCCTACCTCCTACCCTCTTACCTCCCATCTCCTACCCTTCTACCTCCTACCCTCTTAGCTTCTACCCTCCCCCCTCCCCCTCCCCACTCCCACCTCCCTTATTTAATTAGTAAGACTTTTAAGAATGAGGTAAACACCAGCACTGAGACGTGCAGGATGCCCACACGCATAAGCCACAACCCAGTGACGATTACACTAAACTGAACCTTAAAACACTTACATATATCATTTACTCATAACAAAGTACTAGACTACGTCGTGTCTAGCCCCAATAGATGATTTGAAGTCTGTTTTAAACTCTAAATCTTCGTCACGCAACAACATTAACAGCCCAGCGTCAAGAGGCTAGCACTCTTTAACCGCGAGGAGACAATCCATCCATCTACAAGTCAGCTATCCATCAATTAGAGAATTAACCCAGGCGTCACAGATAATGCGAATAGCCATAACTATAACAAAAACACCGCAGTCATCAACGGTCTGCTCCTAAGCCTTACCTTAGGTGAACTGCAATTCATTTTCCTGGAGCGAGCGCTCGACAAGACGGGAAAGGCATTTTTGGGTTTTACCACGGGCCGTGCTGAACAATTCCTCAGTAACAGAGAGCTACAAAAAGAGGATGGCCCTTGTGAGCGTTATATCAACATACACAAGGGTCTAATAGTTCTATATCGTCTAAACATAAACACCCACCATTAATATACCACCCAGAACAAGGCACATAGGCAGGAGTTTCTGCTTTACTCCTCACCAGTAAGGTAAGTCCAAGTAGTCACCTAAGGCTAGTAAGGGGTCAATCAAGCGGCATTCAAGCCAATAGCTCGCTACCCATATCAGGAAGCAGTGGATAGTAGTATCGTCAATCCTACCGTCCTCACCAAAGGTAAGGATGCGCTTACGACTATGGTCGTTGAGAGCGAAGATCTCAGTACCCACACTCTCAAAACCCTTCTCAGAGGCACTACCAAAAGAACGGGAGTGGCCAGAGGAAGATAGAGAAGGATAAGAATATGAATACAGGGCCTGACGCAGTCTCACCCACAGCCGTATCGTCCTCACAGGGGTTGACCACATCAATATCTATTAGCTCTATAAGACTACTTAAAAGTAGTTAATTAACCTACTATACTATTAAACTAAAATATAACTTTAAAGTAAGATACTTAAACTTTATAATCTAAGTTTATAAAGTTAATAGTTTTATTAAATAAGAAATAATTATTAATAATAAATTATATTTATATAAATATAACTTTTTACTTTTTTAAAGATATTAATAAGATTAAAATTAATAAAATATATTTTTAAATAAAATAAAATATTATAAAGTTAGTTTAAAATAAATTAAAATTTATAAAATTTTAAAAGTTATTTTAAAAATACTTTAAATTTAACTTTTAAAGTAAATAATATTAAATAAATTTAAATTAAATTATAATTAAAGAAAACATTTAAAGAAAAATTAATATAAAGGTTATATTATTTATTATTTTAGTTATATATTTAAAAGTAATATAAATAGATAATTATTATAAAATATAAATAATAGTTATAAATAATTTAATATTTTTAAATATTAATATATATATATATAATACTTTTAATATTAATAATTATTTAATAGTTAATAGTTAAATAAATATAATATTAATTATAATATTTATAAATTATTTATATTTTTAATTTTTATTAAATTAAAACAAATAATTAAAACCTTAAAGAAATAAAATATAATATATTTTTAAAGATTAATTTAATTAAATTTACTATATAAAACTTTTTATAATAACTTTATAATTTATTATATTTATAATATTATTTAATATTAAAAAATAACTTTTTATATTAATATATTAATTTAAGCTAGTGTCTACCTACCTAGCTTCTATAACTATCTACCTAGTAATTTCTTTAAACCTACCTAATATATACTTTTACGTGTATAGCCTATATAAAGCTATGTACTTATTAAGCCTATCTTATAGTGACCTTAAAACTTATATGTTAAGTGCTTTCTTATTATTATACCTTTATAGTAAATATATTTAATTAGGTATTTAATAGAAATAAAAGAAAATTAATTTATATAAGCTAAGTTAAGTATTTATATATTTATTTTTAAGTTAAATTAGAAATAAGTAAATTTTCCTCCCCTACTTAAATATAATAATCTCTTTTATTTTAATACTTAATTATTATTTTTTATTATTTTACTATTTAAATAATAACTATACTAATAACTATATAGTTATAATTATATTAAGTCTATAATTATATTAATAGAGAGTTAAAGAGAAATAATAATAATTTATTAATTAATACTACCCTTTAATCTTTATTATATTTATTAGTTATATATACTCTATATATTAACCCTTAATAATAAAAGGATTAAATAATTTAAAATTAAAAGCTTAAATAGAGCTATTATATTAAATATTAAGGTTGTACTTTATTAACTTATTAGTAAATAGGTAGAGATTCTATGTAATTAGTATTTTTATAACTTTAATTTATAGAATAGTTATATTAAAGTATTAAGTTATAATTTAAACTTTTTTAAAAACTATTATATTAATTATATTTAATAAGTATTCTTATATTTTAAATTAGTAGTATTATATAATAATATTTTTATAATAAATATTAAAATTATAAGTATTTATAGGGTAGAAGGATACTACCTATAAGTTTAATTAGTTAAAGTATATAGATTAATAGCCTTTTTAATACTATATTATTTTAGTTAGTTCTAAATATTTTATTATTAATTAATTAACTTACTTTTATTATAAGTATTATAGTAACTAATAAAAGAGGTGTTAAAGGCCTATATATAAAATACTATTATAACTTTAAATTAGCTCTTTTAATACTTATAATAAATATTAAATAATTTATTAAAGAATATTACTAAAGTATTATTAGTAGAAGAGGATTCTATTAAAAGTAGTAATTATAATATAATTAAAGTAGTATAGTTAGCTATATATTTATATTATAATAAATATTATATTGGTAAGTAGGTAATAAAAAGACCTTTAATAAAATAATATATTATAATAAATATAATAAAAGTTTTAAGGAGTGTTATTAGTTCTTATATATAAAATAAGGGTTAATATAGCTATAATAGGAATTCTATATTTATTTTAAAAGTAAGTAATAGTAGGTTAAGTTAGGCTATTTAAAAATTTATTAATATAAAGTAAAAGAGTGAATAAAGGATACTTATTATTTCTTAAATAATTAATTTATAAAGAGAAGTTTGTAAATTTAATAATATATTTTAAGATAGAATTAAAACTAAAGGTTATATATAAAGAGTAACTATTTATATAAAAACTATATTTAACTTAAATATTATAACTTTTATAGTTAGAAATTAATTAATAAAATATATATAAATATATATTATAATTAATTTATATAGTAAGTATTATAAAGAAGGTATAATTATTAGGATTTCCTTAATATAGTACTATTTTTAAGGTTAGAATTCTATTAATCTAGTAGAATATAAGCTATAGGAGGAGGAAGTATAGAGAATTATATAAGAAAGTTATAAAATTAGTTATAAAGTATAGTTAGAGAAGAAAAAATTAGTATAAATAAAAATAGGGTTTAAATAAAAGAGATTCTATATATATTAATATAATAATAGTAAGTAAAGGATAATTATTATATATATATAAAATAAATATATATATAAAAATATTTATTTTTAAAATAAAAAACTTAATTTAACTTATATTAATTAAATTTTATATAATACTTTTATAAAAATAGTTAAAACTACTTTAATAATATAAATAATAAACTTATTATTATATATATATTAAGTTTATTTTATTAAAATTTATATTATATAAAAATATTTTTATTATATATAAATATAATATTTTATATTATTATTTAAAGGTTAAATAAAGGTATGCTATTTAATATATTATTTTAAAATTACCTAAATAATCTAAAAGAATTAGGATATACTAAGTTATTTTATACTATATATATTTTTATTATTATTAAAAGGTTAGATAAAAGTAACTATTTAATATATTATCTTTAAAATTATTATATATTATAACTTAAATAAATTAAAATATATAACTAATTTAATTAAATAAATATATAATTATAAAATAAATTATAATTAATATATATAGAGTATAATATAAGTTTTATAAATATATATAATAAAAACTATATATAACTTTTATTATAATAAAGTAAAACTATTTATTTAAGCTATAATAAAATATATTAAATAGGTTAATAGTTTAATACTAACTATAATAAGTAGAATTAATATTAAAAGTATTATAAAACTTAAAATATACTTACTTTAATAAAAACTTAAAAGTTTAATATTTATTAATATATTATATATTAATTTATATTTTAAATATTTACTTTTATAATTATTAACTATTATTTAATTAGAGTCTAAACTACCTAATAGTAAGGGTATTAGCAGCTTAATAGCCACTAATTTAACGTTTAGTTAGAGTCTAAACAATCCTATAGCAAGGCTATTAGCGGCTTAACGGCCATTAATTTAACGTTTAGTTAGAGTTTAAACCATCCAATAGCGAGGTCGTTAGTGGCTTAACGGCCACTAATTCGACGTTTAGTTAGAGTCTAAACCACCTAATAGCGAGGTCATTAGCGGCATGACGGCCATTAATTCGACGTTTAGTTAGGGTCTAAACCACCTAATAGTGAGGTTATTAGCGGCTTAACAGCCACTAATTCGACGTTCAATTAGGGTCTAAACTACCTAATAGCGAGGTTATTAACGGCATAATAACCACTAATTCAACATTTAATTAAGGTCTAAACCACTTAATAACAAGGTTAT